CACTGGGAGAAGGTTTTAGAGTCAATCTGTTCTTTAAATCATTATTCTGAAATGCCGTTTTCCACCCACTTCTTTTGGTTTTCACAGTCAGTCCAGAAAACTGGACTTTATTGTTTCACCTCCGTTACTCATGATAAAAGACAAACCTTTTTCACAGAGTCAGATCTTTCAACTTTGAATGTAATGGCCTATCTACATAGGCTGAAGGAAAACTAAAGTGACTACTACTGACAAAATTCCACAAAGTTTGCATTACCTATTTTAAGTGAGATTTTCTATGTTGGAGAAGCATTTGTTCAAGAGTAAAACTTGAACCTAACTACATTCAGAAATTAGGCTCTCCTAGATACATACAAAATGACAAATAATTGCAATCGTCACCGCAGATTTATTTTTCCTGTAGAAAGACAACATATAATTAAGAATATTGAACTGAAATAGGGGTAGCAAGAAGATGACTAATAGATTGGATCACCAAGAAACTCGTGTCTAGGAATGCCTAGTGCTGCAACATGATTAGCTGCCTTGCTCTAGAGCAATCTTCATAACATCAAGGGATGTGCTCAGTCTCCTACACCTTGAAAGTGCTAATTATTTCCCCAGTAGCAATGGTGCATAATAACAACAATAATGATAATAATAGCAGCAGATGTTAAAACTTCTGTGAAATACCGATATTGGTACATATTAAATTTTGCCTCTGTCAAGAACTTAAATACATTATTCCAAGATGCAGAGAAACATACACTTGAATTCTGGATGTGCATAGACTGTTTCTGTCAGCTGGTATCCAAGTCTGATTCTTCAAAAACACGAGAAACTGGAGAGACTATTGTCAACAGCATGCACTATTTATACAAAAGCTTAAGATTTAAAACAACTTACTTGGTTACTGGAAAGTGGTGATGGGAAGTGATGAGTGTGTAAATTTTTTCCTGTATTAACATGGGTGAGTCGTATGGCTTGCCCACATTTCACCGGTGTCCCGCGCTGGCAACTGCCATCACGCTTCCCACGAATCCGCCAGTAACTGTTAGCATCATCCGAAGCTTCAACTCCTGTCACTGACTGTTGCCCACTTCCTGTTTGAATAGAATTAAATAGCAGGAGACTTAACCCACTTCCCAAGTTCAGGAAGTCCTGAAAGAACTAAATAAATTTGTTTAAATGCTCTCATGTCTTCATGTTTAAGAGATGTTTAATTCTCTCAGTTCATTTACTAACTGTAATGGGCATACAGGTACCAAGTAATCTTTCAGATTGAAGAAGTTAAACACAGCATGCAAAATACATCCAATTCACATTCATTTCTCAAAAATACTACCAAGTTCTTTAGGTCCCCAAACAAATCAGCACCCTTGTTGCCACAACAGATGCTGCCAAGGTAACGTCAAGGCCCTAGACACAGAACAGGGACCACTTTAGAAATGAGGGCAAAGCATCCCTGTCACATCCCAGCTCCAGGACCTGCAAAGCACAGCTGCAATATCTTCCCATACCCCAGGCCTCAGGATCTGCCTCTCCTTACTGGGCTACCATGTCTCCAGCGCAGCCCTCAGCCCCATCCCTGGCCTGCTGCTCCCTCTGTACCAGGGACATAAACCTCAGTAACCTCTGACCACCTCCTCCTTCCCTGCTCCCCTCACAGGCTGCGCCCCCCCCCCCCCCCCCCGCCATTTTCCTGCCCCTCACACCCTGCCCCCCGCCATTTTCCTGTCCCCTCACAACCTGTCCGTCCCCCCCCCCCCCCCCCCCCGCCATTTTCCTGCCCCTCTCACTGCCTGTCCCCTCAATTCTGCCCAGCTGTTGCCATTTCCCAGCCCGCCCCCCTCACGGCTCCCCGTCCGGCCTTGCCCTGCTCACCGGATCCGTACTTGACCTCATGTGAGTGGAGCCGCACGCTGTGGCGGGTGTTGAGCAGCTTCAGCACCGAGCCGCAGGTAACAGCGCTCGGCGCCGCTTCCCTGCCGTGACACAGCCCGCGCAGCAGCGCCAGGAGCAAGAGCGGGAAGAGTCGGCAGCCCGCCTGCATCGCGGCGCAGCCCGGCCGGCACCGCCGCCCCCTCAGCGGAGCGCGCTTCCGCACCCCCCTACAAGAGCACAACCAATCGCCCCGCGCCAGCACCATGGCCGGCCAATCCCCGCCCGCCCTCTGCTCGGCCTCGCTTCCGCATTGGGTTCGGTTTAGTGACCTCACCGCCGCGAGACCTATAGCAGTAGTAGCTCATTGGGCCAAGGGAAAAAGGTGACCAATCAGAGCAAGCGGCGTGGCACCTCCCAGGGAAGGACGCGAAGGAGGATCGCGGTGCTTTTACCTCAGTGGCGCCTCACGGCTGAGCGCCGGTCTCGGTCGGGCCCGCGACGTCTGGGGTGGACCCTATGGGCCGGGTCAGCGCCCAGCGGGGCCCGCAGCGCCTCCACCCGCCGGTGCCTTAGCAGTCAACCTGGCAGCGGAAGCCGCGAGCAGCCCGGGCTGCGCTGACAGGACTGCTCCTGCATCTCTCGCTACTGCTAATTGGCTCATGCCGGAGCAGAGCAGGCCATGTTAGTTACAGCAGCCTCTCGTCTGGCAGGTAGTCCAGGCTGTGAGAAAAGTAGTAGCAGGGTCACTGGACTGATTGCTAAGGACCTTGGGAGAAAACGTGCTGCAAGTAGGACTGGTCAGTCGATTACCATGGGAGCAAGGGAAGAATAAATGTCTTCACAGTGAGAGCACTGTCCAGCATAAAGCAGCTCTACAGTTACTAGCTCATGTACAGCTAATGGTCCAGATACAGTCTCAGGGAGACAGAACTGGCACAGGTAGGTCAGTCAGCTTGTGTTGCTACTACATTCAGGACACTTCCAGCTCAGAGCTGGCACATTCATGTTTGCTCCGCCCTGCAGTTCTGGTTCTTACAGTTGTGTAGATCTGGAGATTTACAGACAAATGTGACATAATGCTGAGAACCAAAGGATATTCGTGGTAGTGAACTGTTTTGTATGATAATAGAGTACTGGTCCTGTAATTTCTGGATTATATTAGAGCTTCTGATGATGAGGCATAAATACTATACAAAGAGCGATTACTGTATCATTAGCTGTAGTGATCACATCTTTGCTTTTGGATCTGGAAGTTCACCTCCTATGATTCAGTCTCTTTTATGAAGTTTTTCTAACAAAAACAGATTATTAAGCTCTGTTCAGTATTAAAGACAGCTGCATAAATTTACATACATACTGTCCTCATTGCATATTGCAGACTGAATAAATCTAACCACCCCAAAAAAGTCTCCTTTATCAACAGGCAGCAACCATGGACATAGGATACAGGAACTCCTACAATGGTCCATTAGCTTTTGCCTCTGAAACTGCTCACTGGATCGACCCATATATCACATCACAGTCTGGTGGGAGTGTCATGTAACACTGAGGAATACAAAGTAATTTAACAGAGCAAAAGCTTTTGACCTTCTTAGCAGCAAGGAAGCAGATAGAAGGGCACCTGCCTTGGCACTTAAGTTTGTATAATGATGGTATTCTGTATGTCCAACAGCAAAGAACCGCAACACTGCAGTCTCTATGACAGGATGATTTAGAAAACACATTAATGTTGCTGGCTAGCAGAAACATCATAAGATGCTCAGCTGACTATCTCTTCTACCCATCCTGGATCTGTGAGGTTTTTTTCCCACCCATGTGATAGCAGTCAATTGAGTGGTTAGTTTTCTTTATGCTGGGTTTTACCCATTTTATATAGTTATATCTATATCTAAGAAAAATCTCTGATTTAAATGTCAGGCCTTCATTAAAAACAAGTCCAAGTACTAAACTCAGTCACACACACGCACACACACACTCATTTTTATGAGGACTAAAACCTCGTTTCCTAGTGCCGGAAGTATAAATGTTTGCTCATAGAAAAGCAAAAGATCACCCATTGATAGTCAAATGCCATATTTCTATGTCATTCTAAAAAGCCTTGCAGTTTTGACTAAGACAACAGCTTGCATTTGCTGTTCCTGTTATAAATGGGGCAAAACCAGATGTCTGTGATTGCCATTCTAGCCGTGGAAAATCAATCATATGGGGCTTTAGCTGGCACCTGTCTATCTTTCTGGGAGGTCGCTCAGTCTTCATGCATTTAGTGCCATTTACATGATGCTTCCTACAATGCTTTTCAGTCTTACTTTAGAAACATAATTGGGTTTGAACGGTTGCCAACAAAGAACTTCATCAATGCCAAACACCCATAGCAATTAACTGCCACCTTACTACTACAGGGCCCACTATTGTTTCTAGTAGATTGCTGTAAGCTACAGGTAAAACTGCCACAGAAATTATGTGAGTGCATACTGGTAGTGGCAACATCAGCTTTTTTGAGAGGGATCATTATGATTCTTGTTTATGGACACAAAATAATTTAACAGTGCTGTAAAAGGGGAGAATGTAAAATGTAACTAGAGTGTTTTCTGCCCTCACTTAAGTCTGCAGTCCTTCTGCACACTCAATTTTCAAGGATTTTGAAAACACCTACCCTTTCCACTCAGATGCACCTGTAGGTACAACCTGGCCTTCCCTGAAAAACACATTTTAGTGGGATTTGGCAGTGCCAAATGCTTTTAGAATTCAGGAATGAGAAATCTGTGTCAAATGAAAACTTCAGAGGGTATATGCTGGCCCAAAGCAACATATAGAAAAGGGTTTTTCCTCCTTTTTATATTGCCCTTGTTAAACATGCTGTAAGCTTTCTGTTTGCTTTGCATGACAAAAGCAGTGACTGGCAACTAAAGCAGCATAGCAGGCAACTCTTGGTCTTGATCTACACCCCAAAAAAGCGCACTGGTGCATCTTTTGCCATCAGATCTCATTGATTGGTGGAGAGCACTACAGTAACATCGTCCAGATTCTTTCCCAGACCGTCACTAACATTAGGCAAAACAGATCAGGCATGGTTCTGAACATCTTAGTACCTGATACAAAACCAAGTCCACATGAGCTCTTCCATTGACTTTTCTCTGCAGCTGGTCCTTTTTCCAATATCAGTAAAGATGAACTACACTGAAATCAAGGGAGTAACAGTAGAAAATCAGGTGTGTAACCATTCTGTAATTTTTTTCTGTGCCCTTCTTTCACTGATGAACTCCGGTGGTTATAAACCTCATTTCAGATCAAACATTTGTATCTATTGGCATGCCTTACAATAGAGCTCTTCTGTGACCCCTAAGGATAATACAAAGAGTAAACAGTAGTAATAACAATAAAATGCTGAGAAATCAAAATGACAAAAAAGATAGCTTGCAAAAAACTTAGGGAATTACAGAGTTTCTTTTCACTCAGTCTTTCAAGGACTAGAGACTCAAAATCAGCTATTCAGATTTTGGCATTCAGTAGACAGAATAAGCAGAGTTAGTAAAGAAGACATTTGACAAAAAAAGTATTGACATACACGTATTTAAATTGAAGAACTTTTCACCTGGGAGAGAAGAGATGATTAATTTTTTTTATTGCTGTCTTCTGTTTCTAGTTTTTGAGGAAGAAAGGGCTTCCTTGAAAGTGCTGCAAAGCCCTGGTGATCTGTGTCCAGTAGCATTGCCAGCATCTTTCAACTCCTCTCTGACACCAGTCCTTCAAGATGGAATCTCTCTTCAGAGCTCCAAAAGAATTATCATACATTTCCACTCAACCAGCTGAGATTTTCCAGGTGCTTTCAGTGATGCTGGGAGACAACAGTCGCTGTAAGTGATCTGCCAGAGTAACTTACACTCGTAGTAACATTGCTGAGGACTTCCTGATGTTCTCAATGATAACAGTAGTCCTTTTGTAGAAGGAACTCTTTTGAGATTACAATGAATACTCATGGTTCTACAGCTGTCTCTTCTTCCATGTCTGATAAAATAGGTAGTCCTCCCTGGCTATCATTTATACTAGTAAATGTTTTACATGTTGTTTCTCTTGAAGCCCAGCAGTAGCCTGCTTTAGTTAGTCTTCCACCTCTCGTGGTAGACTTTCAGGGAATTTTGGAGGCAGTAGGTCTGTCATATGCGGCAGAGGAGTGGTATTTTGGCTAACGGGTTTCTTGATTAATTCTACTTTGCCAATACTCATTTTCTGTTTACACAGAAGCTTTTTGTTTCCCTTTTCTGATGTAAGCTTTTGAGATTTATCAGAACTTCAGATTTCCTTGTTTCAGCCCTATCAATTTGTGCTTACAGCCTTATGCCACTACCCTGCACTTTTTTTAAGCCAAACATTCTCTCAAGGTGCACCTTTGTAACAGGAACAAACATAAATCCAAGCTACTCTGGAAGTAATTTTCCACAGTTAGATAAAAGTGTATCTGACTGCATTTTCAATGGGACACTTGCCAGTCTCCTTGTGCTTTCTGAAAAGCCTGTATCCTCCTAACTTTACATTTTTGCTTCCCTACTCCACCCCTTTAGGAAGTGACCTGTTCCTTGTATCTTTAATTAATTTTAATGGCTTCTAATCAACATTTGTAAAAATCAGATTCAGGCTTAACCCTGTTCTTGTTTATACAGAGTAAATTGAAACTGAGGAAGTCATTTTGAATTTGATATTGTAGTTTTGATGACTTTCTATTTCAGTATCAGAAAGTAAAAATCTAACCTATGTTACATCATTTCAGGTAGCTTTTAAAGTAATTTTGTGCTTAATGGGATTTGAAAAACTTCTAGATTTTTTTATCTGATTCAATAGTAGATAAATATTCATGTAATTCTGAAAATTCCACTAAGGATCTATTTTATATAAGGATCTTTTATAAAATCATCCACTTTTTGACCTCAGTGAACGTGTTATTTTGCCTAGAGATAATTTCCTCTAGGTACTTTCACCATAAATACAAAAAAAAATGAACTCCAGATACTATAATAACTTCCAGAGAAGGCAAACTTAAGTCCTGAGTTTTGATACAATCAAACAGTTAATCGAATCAGATAGTCTAGTTTAAGCTATTAATCCCCACACTTACACAGCACTCATTTCATTTAATCATCCAGTTGAAGGATTCCCCGTCCCAGCTCTTTTTTTGACCAAGCATCTTTGTATATTTAAAAGACCTTAACATCGGGCAAAGCAGCATCTGGAAAAGGAATGGACAGGCTTTACTTCACCTCAAACCCAGTCAAAAATCACAGATGATATAGCTTAAATTCAAATTTAAACACTAATCTTTACTCCACATGAGACACTCTGAAGGAAACATAGTGGAAAGAAAGTAACCCTCTGAAAAATGAGAAGGTGGATTAAAATGAGCAATACATAGTCTCTCTAAAGACCCCAAGAGGAGGATTTGCATCAGGGAGCATTTGAGTTTGGTACTTTTAACCAAACTTTACACACATTATAGTATGCCATAATGTAATGCAAGTGTCAAGTTAATAATAAGGTCATGATGGCAATATTGCCTTTATCACTTTAAGCCACCTTGATAGTGCCATGAACTTTGTCAGGTATTGACATTATTTTGTGCTGGTGTGAATTCAGATGGTTTCAGAAAGGGGAGGGAGAAAGTGACAGGCATACTGCCTAGCACATGGTGTGCAGGGAAGCCATTCAGCTCTTGACAGAGGTACCCTGGATTTGGGTGACTTCAACCCTTTTTGATGCAAGAGGGAGGCAGCTGTTAAACACAGCAGATTGCAAGTCACAAGTAAGGAGTCTAATCACAGGGTTTTGATGGGTTTATCCAGCATTATAGTTAGTTTTGAATCAGCTTGGAACAATACTCTTTGCTGCTTCCATCTGGAGTAGCAGTGCTTGTGCCCAGGATTTCCAAGAGCTACCTATGGGCAGAACACACCCGCCGTGTCCCCTCCCTCCTGGGGATTTGGGCAATTAATTCAGCCGGCATGCCCTGCCACAGTGCACACCCAGATTTGTGCATGAACTCCTCCGTGCAGTTGCTTTCTAAGGTGGGCGTCATAGGAAGAGCTTGGCACCAAAGCACCCCTGCTTCATCACACAGCTGCACATCCTAGTCTGAGCTCCGGCCCTCCAGAGGAGACCCTCTCAGGCACTGTCAAGCACACCCGCTTGGCAGGGAGGCCCGCATGGTTAGAGGGCCGCTCAGCGGCGGCTGGAAGCGGGATGCCGCTGCTCAGCCTTCCCCTCGCCCTCCCTGTCAGCTTCACGAGCAGACACGGCCCCTCCCTCGACACAAAATGGCGCCCACGTGCCTGCCTGCGCAACCGCAACGGCTGCCTCCGCGCGCGGCATGCCGGGAGTTGTAGTTCGAGCGGGTACCGCGGGACAGCCGCGATCCACAGCCAGTCTCGTACCCTCGTCCTGGGTCCGGTGCCCCGAGAGCACTGTCCCACACCCTCATCCATGCCCTGGCCCCACGCTGCACCCAAGTTTCCTGAAAGACTGAGGAAACACTTTTCTGCCTCACCCTAGGCTGGGCATACCTGCGAATTTTGGGAAAACTGCAGTGCAGCTCTATTTCATCACTGCTGTTCAGGTTCACTTAGCTCAGATGCCCAAAAATTAACACATGCTAATGAACACATGTCCCTACAGCATTCTTGCACATCACCTACCTCGGTCTCTGCAAAAGATCCCTTATTTTCTTCTCATTTCTGTGCTATGCCTCGCCATGGTGTCCTACTTCATGTCCTGCCCTGTCAACTGACCAGACAGTTTTGTATCTGGGACTGCAGCCTCAGAGACACATGCTGCATTAGGCTGTTGCATGCTCTCCATCTCTTCTGCAAAGGAGACTGGAATGCAGCTCACTGCTACTAAGAAGAAACCGAGATGAATGCTGACAGCATGAACATAAATGTCTTGTTTTCTCTGAAAACCAGCCTCACTAGAAGAATGAAAATGCTTTAATTTAAGCATTTCTCCAGAAGCCACTGAACTTCAAAGATTTTGTAAATGTTTAAAGCTGGGGAAGACGAGACAATGTTGACACCCTTTGATTTAATGAAAAATGGATTTTACTTTGTCTCATTCAAACATCTTTTAGAATTCCCACTTTCAACAAAATTTCAAGCAAGGAAAAGACAAACCAAATCCTACTGTGCTACCATTGTAATCCCAAATGAAGTAACTCATTGCAGCCAAGGGAACAATAAAAAGAAAATATATTCTTTCTGTCAACATATCAACAGATGGCTTGATGGAAGCAGTAACTGTTATGAAACGCTTTTGTGAAATACAGGAAACCTCTAAAACAGCTACTGAATAACTCAAAGTTCAGGAAAAGAAATTCAAGCTTAAAACCAGTGAAGCAACTGAGGGTGGAGAGAGCTCCTGCTCGTTTCTGCAACTAAGATAAGGTATGGCTGTATTTTGTTTAGTTAAGCTGGAAGATGCAGCCTGTGCTTAGTACATGTCCTGGCTTATGGGGCTTTGCCAGAAATGCTGGCCAATACTTTCATTCATGTCTTCATTGAAGAGGAAAGATCAGCCAGAGGAGCCTGCCCTGCTTTTCAGCTTCAGGCTGAATTTGTAAGAGACTTTCCTCTGGACCGTGTAGGGTTGGCTGCAAGGGGTATTTTGGCAGCCAGCTAGGGCATGCGGAGGAAACATTGTGCTGGGATCCAAGGGGATCATGGCACAGTGGCAAGATTTGCTTGCTGGGAAGATTTTGCTTCCAGTCATGGGAAGAAAAGCTGGGTAAACAGGCAGGAAATTGGAAAAGAAAAGTCTCCAGGAACTTCATTCAGTATTTAAGAAGGATGTTACCATTAATAGCATTAAACACATACTAAGGTTAAGAAGCCTGAGAAGCTTTGTCCAAGATTCTTACATAGTGCCTCTCACCTGTGTAGAGGCAAGCACCACGGTAGTACTAGAAAGAGGCAGGAACCCCCAAAGTTTTCATTGGCAAAGGCAGGAGGTGCTTGGTTTTGGTTGTGGACATTACTTCAGAGTTGTGCTGAATTCATCTGCTACAGTACCAGCCCTCATCAGTAGCGAAGCCTTGGGGGAAGGTGGTTTGGCTGTGAGGGTCATCTCCCAGAAGGGGAAGCAAGTACCAGTTGCAAAATATCCACTCTGAAATGCCAAGAGCACTGGAAACCCTTACAGAGCATTAAACACTTCTCTGTAACAGAAACATACAACTATTAAATGATGGAAATGCTCACAGGAATTGCTAGAATGAAAATTTAGCAACTCCTATACAGTATTTTGGTACAGTTTGTTGGAAATTTTATTCTGTACAAGTTTTCCATGAGAAAAGGAATCACTAAGGGGCAGAAGGCTGTCTCCAACCCTCACCATGATTTCCTGTAGTCCGTGTTCATTTCCTTTTTAAGGGAGAGTAAGCTCCAAAAGTGACAGACAGCTGATATCCACTCTAGATTAAGCAGAAGTCCCCATGGTGCCCATTTCAGTGCTTATAGGGAGAGCACAGCCTAGGAACCAAATTCTTCCAGGACTAACATTGCCACCCCCCCTTCTACTTTTATTTTCCTCTGTCAAAATATTAAAATGTGCTTGCAAACAATCATCCAAATCTTAGCTGCCCCTCAAAGTGCCCTCAGACTATGGAAAAACATTTTTTCCTGCTGCAGAGCCATCCAAGGTGGGAGGCAGAGACTTTCCCCTCCCAGAGTCCTGTAGCAGTTTGCTATATGAACTGCAATTGATGACAGCCTGAAGGTCAACAGGGCTACAACCTACCTGATTCACTGATTCCAAATTCCTTGTGAGGAAACAGAAATGTAGAACTGCAGAGGAGCTCATGATCAGATATCTTACACCTCAGCTCTGGGTGTAAAAACGGTGCAATTCCCTTCACTAAACTGTGCTGCTTTGTGTCCACAAACTGATGGGTCTTCCTTTGCTGGGAAGGACAGTCAGTCTGGCTGTGCCTGCACATCATTTCCTTGACCTTGGGGCTTCAGTACGCTGTCTGTCTTTTAGGAGTTAGATTCTGCTGAAAGGGGGAACACCCAGAGGCTTTGGTTTTTTTATGCTAGGACTGTCCAGAGCTGAGGACAGGGATGCAGTTGGGATGAAAGAGCTAAGTTAGCTCAAATGACTTTGCCTTAGTCATGAATTAACAGGATGGTCTGTCCATTCACACAGAAACAACCCTTGAAGCCTTTCTCAGCTAGTTCCATCCCAGCTGCTCTTCCAAGAAGCTTGTGCTTGGCTTGATGGCTGCTGCTTTTCTTATTCAGCCCTCTTACCTGCACATTGGCACAGATTCAGATGTGGAAATCGCCATAACCCACACAAGGGTTCCAGTCACAGCATGATCCCTGCTTCCTGGGACAGGTTAACAGGACGTTACTCTAGCACTTTCTGAACTGTCACTCTCTTCCTGCCCCAAACAGCAGTTTGTTGCTCCCCTTGCAATAGCAGGAGCGGGTGAATATCTTGGGATAACATCACAGACCAAAAGGGGATGTGTTCTACTTTGACAGAACTTCATCTTCTTCTACAGGAGAAAAATGCAGCTGTGAAAGTGAAGTGGCTTCATTCTGGTAGGTGAAGATTAGCTTTCCTGCGGTAAGAAAAAGCAGCAGTTCAATGCCAAGACAAACAGGATTTTACATGCAGCCTGAGGTAAAGCTGGCTTTCACTCGGCACTGAAGGACAGCACGATAGAAGCTGCCTCTGTTCTTCCTGCCCTTCTCCAGCATCAGGAGCCGCAGGGACTTCCCGACCAGGCTTTACTGACCTGCAGCTCTGCCCTCACGCCGAGCTCACGCTGCCCGCAAGCCGAGGAGCCGGGGGGGGACACAACGTGCCTGTCCGGTCGGCGGTGCCAGCCGCGGCCGCCAGGGGCCGCCCCCGTGCTCGCAGCAGTGCGGAGGCGCCGGGCTCTGCAGCGCTGCCACCGCTCCCCGCCGGTGAGCTCCCGGCTGGGGCTGCTCGGCAGCACCCGGGGACGGGGGGGATGCGCGGCGGGGCGCAGTGGGCAGAGCTCCGCCGCCGGAGCCAGCATCCCCACCCACCCCGGGGCAGCGGTGACGGGGACCGCTGCGCCAGCAGCGACGTCCCTGGGGGAGGGCAGGAGCGCAGGTACGCACTGCCCCGGGGAGAGGGCTGGCGGGGCCTCCTCTGTCCCCGCTGCAGCGGGAGGGCAGGGCCCGAGCCGCACCGCGGGAGGCCGCTCCTTTCCGGTTCTCCTCGGGGATACGCGTCTGCCATCCCCCTACAGCGCTGGATGGCGGGGTCGGTGGCAGCGAGGTGTCGCAGCAGCCTCAGATGCTTGGCACCGCTGCCATTTCCCCGGGCACCGCGGGAGAGGATGGGTAGCGGGGAAAGGAATTTGAAACCCCTCCCCCTGTCGGTTCAGTCAGTTCCCGAAGCCCCTGACCCTCTGCACATCCTCCTTTACTGCAACACAGAGTGCAGGCAGGCAGGCCGGCCGGCCGGCCTGTACTCCCGCAAAGAAAGGAGGGCTCCGGTCCTCTCTCTGCGGGAGCAGGCAGGTGTGGTGTGAGCCGGGCGGCCACGCCAAATCCGGCTACTGTGGAAGCTGTGAGACAGCGGGAGGCTGAGGTGGAGCAGGAGGAGTTAGTCAGGGGCTGAGTCACGCTTGGGTTCACCTCCGTTGAACCAGTGTTTTCCTGTTTGCCTGTGATCTGCAAACTACCGATTGTTAAGATTTTCCCTCCTTTACTTTTTTTGCTAGGGATGACCTCCAAGAATGCTTCAGGTGAAGCTAATAGTAACTGGAGATGACTTTGGCTACTGTCCTCGGAGAAACCAAGGCATCGTGGACTGCTTCCTGGCTGGTGCAGTATCTAACGTGTCCCTTCTAGTCAACGGAAGTGCTGCAGCAGATGCAGCCGAGCTGGCACGGAGGTAAGCTACTTTCTCTAGCTCCTTTGTGGACAGCCTCCAGAGGCTATCAAAAGCCTTGCCTTGTAAAATCTGGTCTTCTGTAACGCCAGTATAGATGCTGTATCATAGCCTAGGGTGGTATAAGGAAACTATTCCAGGCACACTTACTAAGACTCTTCATAGTAAAACCAATTACCTGCCAGCCATACCCGTAATGGGTATCAGGGTAGAAAGCCACTTATACAATTTTAGTAGTAGACTTTGGGTGGGCTTTGTTTTCCCACACTTCTAAAAGATGCACCGTCAGAATGAAAGTCCACACTATATGCCCAGGCCAAGCTGCTATCTCTAAAACTAGTAAAGCATAAAAGCACAAATCTTTAAATCTCATTTAAGTTGGTGCATTTGGGCACAAGGCTGAACACAGGGTCACCCAGGTTCATTGCAGAATCAGGGAAAGGTGTGATTCTGCAAGGGCTTAGTTACAAATCTAGACAGTGGAAAACCTCATTTTTTTCTACCTCAGAAGCCTTTTAAACAAGTACCACAATATTTTTATAAATTTTAGGTTTAATAAATCCATCTGTAAAAATTGCATACACAAAAAGAGGGACCATACCTCATACGTGGCACCTTTACTCCTTCAGGAACTTCTCAGAGGTTGCTGGTATAGTTGTCTCTGTAGCAAATCAAATGTTGTGTCGGCCTCATGGACTAGCCCAGTAAATCCTTTAATAGGAAGCATTACTTGTGTTTAGAAGGTAAAACTCAGCTAATGCTTCAGCTCCAGTGTGGGCATGTGCTTGGAAGCAGGAATATGTCCTGGAAGAGAGAATAGCAGGGTTGAAAAACAATTCAGAAAAGCAGAAGAGGAAAGGAACTGTGCTAGTAGTAGAGAACTAACCCTTATGCTTCAAATATAGATGCTGCAGGGGACAGTTTAATGAAAGTCATGCTGTCCTTGTTCTTCTTGAGCATCTTTCTTCAATTTGTCTGTGATTTTAGGAGTACTTGGAAATTGCTTGCATCTTGTAGCTTCTTTGGTGTTGGGTGGTATAGGAAAACCAGGGTGTGGTGTTAGTGGCAAACTAATCTTCTGTTAAAAAGGTTAGAAATTACACACAAACATTGAGAGAGGAACTGCCTCTGAGATGATAAGAGAAGACACTGTTGGGATGACTAAAATCCTGTTAGTAAACAAAACAAATGAAATGTAAAACATGAAGATAAAGCCAGAACTTCTCAGACACAGAGGTGCCATGGAAGGCTTTAAGCCTCAATGCTCTGGTAATGTTGTCAGCTATTTTAGTCATGGTCTTTAGCAGGCTTTTAAATATAGAATCCACCTGGCCTCATTTCCATAGTCAGAAAATAGACCATGGAGGTTTAAAAACCATCTTTGAATCCAGTTCATGACACTTGTGCTGACAGCTGATACAGGTGTGAAAAGCCAGGTTGGAGGGGAGGGGACAGGAGAAGATGCAACCTGCTGCTACTGTTTCATTCTTTTGGGGAATAGTTTTGAGTTGTGTCAATGAAATGGATTTAAATCTATTTCTGACAATATAAGCAGGGTGACTCTGGGGACATCTGTCAGCACTGAAGATAACAGCCCAGGTTCTGCAATTCCTCGTTTGTGTAACTCTGTACAGCTGTATTCAGCCCTACTCACCACAGATTTGCCACAAGGGGTTGGTCATGTTCCAGTTCAGGTGCTGGTAGTACACCTTAATTGGTACCTGTGCATGCACCCACCCCTAAGATACTTGTTCCTTTATTGCAGAGATTCACACAAAATCTTTTTAGACACAGGTGTCCAGTAAGTCAGACTTACTGGAAATGTCATTGAATCCTTCTCATCTTGTGGTGTAAAAATGGGAAAGTATAACTGTTGCTTGACTGCCTTTCCACTGTTGTTCTCTCTTCCCCTTGCTTGGTGTTGTCTCCCATCGCACTGTGAATATTGAGGCTTTGCAACATTTTGTGGTTTATGGGATGAAAGCCTGCCCCGTTTTTTTGATCCTCTTTTATCTTTCTCCACAGATCCCAACTAAGTAAATATGTATATACACAATATATATGCACACATGCATATATACTTAACTCCATAGCAGACATTTCAGCCTTGACCAGTGGTATAAGCAGAGACTGGATCTGTCACCTTTCAGGACAGTTCTTCTTAAGCACCTCACACTGCCCTACAATACCAGGACTTAGTATCCTTCAAAAAGGATCACAGTTCCTCTGGAATTCCATTCCTCCCTTCATTTCACAATAATTCTGTAGGCTTCTGGGTATATCAGAAACCCTGTTTTGATAGAAGCATTAGCAGAAATGCGATGGTAGTCAGCAGACCTTTGTACCAGTTCTAACAAAAACTAATTGCAAACCAGCAGAACATCTGGGTTCTGGATCTTGGGGACCCCACTTACTTGAGGCAAAAGAGAAGTTTCAGCATCCTGATCATCCGGCCTCGTCCATCCCCAAATGACAAACCTATTGATAGCGACTGCTGGAGCAGTACATAACCAGAGCAGCAGGCAGGGAACAGACTGCCATTGTGGGGGTTGTCCTTCAGTAACTCGAAACTTTATTCCCCATGGGGCATAGGCTGGCTGCAACTTCCTGGTTATCTATATAATATAGTCTCAATTTTCTACTTATCAAGCCCCACCTTGAAGTCAGCCAGTCTTCCTAGTGATTATTCCAGAGCCTCTCCCTGAGATCTAAAGGGTTATTTTGTACCTGAAATTAATAGGTCCATTTTTCCTTAGAAATACAGAAAAAGCAGAAATAGACCTAAGATTGTTTCCTGCCGTATTTCCCCCTTTTTATCAACCAGCTTAGTCATGACTGAGTATTAGGACCCTTTTCCAGATGATTATATCCAAAAACTTGATGAAAAGTGACATATTTTAGAGCACAACTTCAGTCTTCCTGCCTCTTTTTTTGCAGTTTAAATGCTGAACATCAGCTATACAAAAGCTGAAGCCCCCACAACATCTGGGTACATTTAGCAGAAGAATCTAACAAAACCACATTTAATTGCTGTCTATGTTTTCACTTCCTTTCCCATCAACACTAATTGCAAAATGTATGTGTAAATTGTGACTTAATTCTGACCCTCCCAAGTCAACATCTGACTAATCCAGAAATCTCTTATGCTTTCCCATCACCCTTTTATTTGACTGTTTATCACCTGGCAGACAGTTCCACAGCTGAGCTGTGTTTGAATTAGAGGTGGGATCCCAGCTGAGGCCTTAAACTAGAATCTGAGATCAGGTTAACTTTACTGGCAACAGCGCTTTTTGCTGATATAAGGTCTCGGGCACAGGAGCTTCAGGTGATACAAAGATGTAATTAAAAAGAAAGTCACATCCTTAAGCTATGTTACAGTACCAGTTCCTAACAATACAGAGGCTTTGGAGTGTTTCTTCCAGCAGAAGAGTGGAGCAAGACAAGATGCTATTTGATCTATACAGTTAGATCTTAGCATTTGCTGAAGGGTGAAAGTGGGGTGGTAGGGAAGCATACAAATGCCAACATGGAGAACCCGAGAGGTCTACTTTTTCTGCACTAAGCACAGCCTGGCTTTGTCTGGCTTGAGATACATAGATGTTTACTGGAGCAGGATGTCTAGATACAGATATTTATGTGAGGTTCTTTATTGTGTCACACTTGGGCTGAAACCTGGTGAACCAGTAATTTCCCGGATAAGAATACAAACAGGATGTTGAAAGTGGGATCTGTTTGCCCATGAAAGAAAAGGGCAAGTGCCCTCTTATGCTGCAGCATGCAGCCTTCAGCAAGACAATTGGGCCTGTGCTCAGCGAATTGTATGATTCCCACAGCCACTGCTCCCAGGAATGCAGGGCCTGCACAGAGTCCCTGCTGCGTCCAGGAAGGGCCCAGGGCATCCAAGCTCATCTACCAACCTCAGAAATGTGCAAAGCCGGTGGGCACTTTAAAGAGTGACTCAGTATAGTAACAGTTTCCAGGGACCCTTTACTGCTAAGGATATGAATGAACAGGGATTGCAACTGCACAAAAGCCCATTGCCTTAGCAGAGACATTTGTTCAGAGCTCTAGTGTGGCAAAACAAGAACTACTTGAAAAGGAAGCAGTTTAGCTGATTGCATTTCCTCTCTCTATTTGATGACTGGGCTGGGCTTGCTGTCTCAGAAATCTTGCCAGACTGAACTCTTTGTTGTCCCTTGTAACATTTTTTGTAAGAGGCTATCCTTTCCAAGATAGTCCCATATCTTGACTTTTCTCCATGCCTTTTTTTACAATACATCATGACTTGGCATTGCTCTTTGGTTGCAGAAGCTACATTTCAGTGGTGAGAAGCACTGTGGAGCAAGAGTTAGTCCAATGTGTGTAAATAGGGAAGAAAGCCTGTTGGTTCAGTGTTAAAGCTCAAGCCTTTGGTCAGAGCAGAGCATGACTGGAACCCTTTCTTCCAAGGTACAGCCTTGGCTAATTACTATAATGCTTTAAGTTTTGCTTATGCTTTCATCTCATTGCACTCAGGATATCAGATACTTATGCAGTGTCAGGGCTGTTAGGAATGAACACCAGGCACAGGACATTTGGTGCTGAACCAGAGCATCATCTGGCTCGCTGGATCCAGAGGGAAAGCACATATTTAAATACAGGAAAATGCTAGCTAGCCACAGAATCCTGCTGCGCCCTCTGTGTTGTCCTTCCCATATCCTACCAGCCTTCCCAGCATGCCTGCTTCTGTGCAACTCCCACAGGGGAATATTTCTGATCAAGTTCCTCACATGCTGTGTTTTCAGTTTTGGTTTCAATCCCTGCATTCCAGAGCCTTTAAACACTAGCAGTTCCTCTTTAGATGCCTCAGCATAGACAGTCTGTCAAACCAGCCAGGACTAACTCTAAGAGAAAACTATTAAGATATTCAGCTGGTGTTAGCCAGAGCTCCAAAACATGCTCTAATGTTACAGTCAGAGTCTCCCCTTACAGCAAGAACAAGGGGAGCTCTCTCTGCACTTCCACATTCTGTGCATTCCCCAGCTCTGGGGCTGGTTTCAGCTCAGGCAGAGGAGCAACTCTAATGTTCTGCAGTGAAATGCTTGGCTCCTTGGTGTCCCACACCTGTCAGAGGGGCTTGCCTTTCCTAGAAATAGCTTCCCTGACAGCATGTGAGGCTTTGCACAATTGGAGGTAGTTCATCTGATGCTCCTGGGAGACAACCCTGACAGGCTCAGCTGTTCATTTCTTGCCCTCCCACAACACATGAGGAGGAGAGTGCTCAACAAAAAATCTCCCATCTGCTGATTCATGGTAACACATGAATCCTTTTTCTTGTAGACAGCGGTGGTGGTGGTACAAATAATGCTGTCAGCTGATGCAGCTAGAGCTTCCCAGAGACATGATAAAGAGTCTGGGGTGGCCTTCCAAAACAAAACCATGGGCTCCCCTTCCGCCTTTGGGCTCATGAAGAGTGCAAAGTAGGTCACAGGATGAAGGAGAAGTCCTCTTGCCACAGCACTCCTTCTGACTGTGGCTGCCTCCTGCCCTGCCATCAGCCACCTGCTGAAGAGCCCCCACTCCCAATGACAGCATCTTTCAGTTCTTGTATTAGAGAGGAGTTAGTGTGCACATGTCATGTGCTCAGCCCCCATGTATGAAAACAAGATGAACATTTTATCAACTATATAGTCAGGCCCTGCTGCAGAAAAGAGAAATCAGAAAAGCCAGAGAGGACCTTTCTCTCCACAAGATGTTTTGCTCCATTCAGGAGACATTCAAACTCTCTAATCGCAGAGTGGACTGGAAAGATACGGACTCATTTTGTTTCAGAGCTGTCCATACAATTTGACTTATAACATTTATGTCTTTGAGAAGGAGCAATATCTAGCAACAGACTATACCATCCACCTGGAGCACGAGAGATGGAGGAGCCAGGAAAAGAGTTTCAGTCCTGCAAGAGCCAAAGCCTTAGGATCGGAAGAAGCTAAATGATTAGCTTAGTCCAGTCCATCCACAGACCTGTCCCAGGTGACATGGTGCTTCACTAGTCAGCTTCAGAGCAGCAGACAGAAGGGGAAAATGTTTTTTGCACACTTTGCCTAAGTGGGGATTGCTTTTGTTTTCCCAATTGTTGTATAAGGGCTGTAACAGGAACAGGTCATGCCCAGTTTTAACAGCTCCATGCAGAAGTTCCAGGAAGGATTTAAAGCATCACAGGCTTTATGCCTTGAAATTAACTCTGCATCATGACTCAAAACTGAGAAGCAGAGGAACACTGCAGTGCTGTCGTTTACTTACTGGGGCAGCCAGAGGCCAGGGGTTGTCTTGGGAAAAGTTTCAAAGCATCATTTTGGCCACTGATTCTGAAGATCTCCAGAAGCACTAATGAAACTCAGCACAAGTCTGAGCACACGCAGGCCCTGTTTTTGTTGCAGGGGAATCCACGGCATAGACTAAGAAAGAAAACCAGCACCTTCAGAAGAGCCTGTGGCTGAGAGGAGCTCTGCCAATACACTGCACTGTTTCTTTTTTTAAATGTTGCAGAGTGCAACTAGTAAATAAATTGTACCCTTGTGGTCCCTTAGCAAGGCTCTACTCTTATGCTGGGCCTCCCTGCAGTAATCTTTTGTGCCAGAGGGATGCACAATTCAGCCTTGTCACTCAGTGAGTGATCATCTGCACCAGTAGACAGAAACCCAGACACTGCAGCCAGTTCCAGCTGCAGCCTCTTGGACCCTTTAAGGAAACCCTTAAAGTCAGACAGCATTTACATTTGTAGCCTATGCTGTTGCCATAACAGCTGCTGTGGGCACTGTTTATACATGACTGGATTCTACTTAGGGGAAGCTTTGTAAGTTGTCAATTAAAACTCAAGTGTTTCATAAATGTAGCATCTTTAATAGGGTGAACAACTCTGCCAGTTACTAGTAGCATCCAGGTATTTAGTCTCAGACACCTCATGGCTGCTCTCCCCATATGAGTCAGGGTGGGAACAGAGCTGGGAGTCTCACAGACCGGCCCTTGGCAGACTGCACAGGGATTCTACCTGGAGATACTCTGCTCTGGTTAGTGTTATTCTGCTTTCCTTTCTAGATGGGCAGAGATACAAAGATGTACTCCAGTGAGCACAGGACCACTTTTTGGATCAGTCCGAGTCTTTCACGGCTATCTTCGGCCTTCAGGCACAATAAGGGAGGTAGAGGTACAAAGCTTAACAGATATTTTGTTCATGTTACAGACACAACATCCCAATAGGCCTCCATGCCAACCTCTCCGAGGGCTCTCCTGTGTGTGAGGCGCTCAAAACAAACTCTTCGCTGCTCAACCAAGATGGATTCTTCCATGGGAAAATGGGATTCAGAACAGCACTATCAAAAGGTCTCCTGAATATGTCAGAGGTAGGAGAAAGCCATATGCAATCACGGAACTTGCTTTCCTGACATTGATCAGTCTGCACTTATCCCAGTACATAACAGCTGAAGATCTTCCCTATGTCCCAGCTGTGAGTAAGCTTAGAGATGAATTTTGAATCTGGGCAGCTGGAGCTGGTTTTCTGGGTCCTTAGCCTAATTCTGCCAAAGGCTCTGCAGCCTTTGAGAACTCATTTCTCCCTGCTTCAGACGCTCATGTCCTGTTAAACTACTTCTCTGAGAGTGCAGAAGGGGCATTGGAACAGATATTTACAAAGAACCTAAGCATTTGTAAAGGGAAAATGACAGAAGTGCTATGCAGGCAGTAAGCCTTTCATCACTTCATGAGAGGATTTTGTTCTCTAGTGAGATGGCTGGTTTTGTCCCATGAGAAGGATGCATGGTGATCAAAACTGCCTATGGGATATGAGCAGCCATTTCCCCGTTCATTCTAAAGGGAAATGGGTATTCAAATGTCCAGTATTTCTAACATAGAAAATCCCAGTGTTGCACCATCCACATAAACAGTACCACAGAGACCACGCCTAGGGGAGGTTCTGGGCACTGCATGTCCATTTAAACATCACAGCACTTTATGCCTCCCAGAGCCGTGTCATAAGTAGAAGCCAGCAGGTCTCCCTTGCACCCTCCTGACCTCACCCTGCTGAGAAGGCTTACTCTGACCCTTCTCTACTGTGCAGGTAAAGCAGGAGCTAAAGGCCCAAGTGGACCTGTTCCATGAGCTGACAGGTCACCTACCTCCTCACATGGATGGGCACCAGCACGTCCATGTCCTCCCAGGTAAGAAAGGAGTCCTCTTCTTCCCAACACTGCAAAGATGAGAGTCAGCTCAGACTGGATTCCCCTTGCCACAGCTCCCTGGTTGGGCAGTAAATCTCACTGCACAATACCCATTCTACAATTGCAAATTGAATGTTCCCCCCTGGGCCTCAGCTAGCTGCTTGGTGATCTGGGTCTTTCTGTAATATCAGAAGGGGATTAATGGCACAAATGGCTCAGGTTACACCTTTTCCTCCTAGGACTGATAATTCACCTCAGCATCCTAATTGCATGCTCCTGCCCACATCAAGGAGTCCAGTAGCAGACTGGCCAGTTTAAACTGGAAAGCTTGGGTCTTTCAGGTGCTATAAGAACTCTATCCTGTCAGTTGTGTTTCCACACTGATGTCTGTCTGCAGGTGTCAGCATGCTTTACAGAGATAGGCAAGTATCTTTTGTCCCTGTTCTGCAAATAAGGTAACTGTGGTACAGAGATGGAAAACAGAGAGCAAAGCCACCCAGATTTCCCCACTCCAGCACTCAGCTGCCTGTGGGTGTCATTGCTCTTGGCAGTTTACCCTCACAGCAAACCTTGCTGTGCAGGGACTTCACGAAGAACTTGTTCCTGGCAGTGCAGTCACCTCTGGTGCACTTGAGGACCAGAGCTGCTAAGGTAGAAGGGGATGCTGGACCAAATGCTCAGTGGTGAAAGGAAAAACAAGGCACCTACACACATTGAGGCAGTAATGATTCCAGGACAGAAAGTGGCTCCCGTCCAGATGAAGAAAACCATTTCAGCAGAAGATAAGCCAAATAAGATTATATTTTCTTTAACATGGAACAGAAAGATGTCTCTGTGCTAACAGTATGCAGGGACCTGATGAGCTGGTTATGCGATTACTGACCATAGCGTCTGTGTTTTCACTCCCAGAGGTCAGGCACATATTTGCAGAGGTGTTAGAGGAATATGGGATTAAGTACACACGTGTCCCAATAGAGCCAGGCCTCCATAAATGTGACTGGATTTCACCATCCCTGATGGAGTTTTACCTGGGAGTGGAAGAGGACTCTTTTAACACAGTGGATGTGTTTACAAGTCATGGAATAAGGTAAGACAGGCATTACTCATCCTTTTTGTAGTAAAGCTTTAAGATCTTATCGCTTCCTGATAGCACCTTTCCAGAACTGAAGACCACCTTTCTTTCCACTTTGGGGCTTAGAAGGTTCAAGAGGAGAACAAAAGTGCTGGGGGCACTAGGGCTTTGTAAGTTCTGTTTGCACAGATGATTCACTTCTCACCTTGAAGGGAATCTTCTTTCCAGGGCATGTTTCTCAGGCGTTCTAGTGAAGCTGGCACCTGGCATGGCAGGAGGATGAGTACTGCACTGACTCCGCATCAGAGTGGAATTCTGAAAGTATAATCTAGGGAAGGTTTTCAAGAATAACTTTTCATCTCCCTGCAATAGTGGAGAAAGGGTTTTAAGTAGCAGGAAAAAGATTAATTGGAAAGAAGTGTTTGCTGTTAAGGGGAGGCAAGTCCAGTGTTCTGCCATTGTTATGGCTCTTTGATATACTTTGGCAGAATGCTCTCTTAGCAGGTTGGTTTTATTTCAGTCACTTTGCTTCCCCTTAGCCAAGGGTTATTAACTAGAGATGGCTATTGTTCAGGCTTTAATTGGCTGGGTGAGTTATTTTGATAGCTTAGAATTGCTCAGTTTAGTTCTCTCTTCCCTCTTGTGCCAACAAAATGCACCTGCGAGCTCGCAGATGCCAAACCCCCTTTGTGCTGTCCCACAGCACATGTAAATACAGTAATAACAGCAGTGCTGGGCCTTTGGTGGGCCTGTCTGTCAGACTGAACCCCCTCCCTCTTTTCTGTCTGAAGTTTTAGCTTAATTTTGATTCCCAACACACAGGATGTAACACACTTTTCCTAACCACCTTGTTAGCATTAATATCAGCGTTCCCTCCTCTGGCTACAGGTGGCCAGACATTTACATAGGGTTGACCACCATGGGCAAGAACATGTCTGTCAGTAACATCTGGAGCGCCATCGACAGTGCCATCACAGAGTTCACGTCCAAGGCACCCTCACCCACCGAGCCAACACCACAGAGCAGGACCATAACGATCGAACTGATGGTGCATCCCGGGTACCCCAGTGTCCCACCCGTCGGCGGCTGCGGGGAAGGACCGGATGACTTCTCGCAGTCCTGGGAGCGCCTTCACGAACTCCAGACGTTAATCAATCCAGAGCTGCAGAGCCATTACAAAACCAGGAACATTCAGCTTTGTTCCTTCAAAGATCTTTAGGCAAGCGACCATACACACCTTTGTTCAGACTTGCAAGACAGTTACCAGTGCAGTACCTCCTGGTGCAGCTGACAGGGGAATGAATAGCCTGGGGACAGCAGCAGTGTTCATGGAAGAACACCACCGTCAGCAGCTACAGGTAGCACCCCGGTGCCCTGACCAGCAGATTTTAGGTCACAGCCCCTGCTCTGAAGGTGACAGACCTCCCCTGCTCCCCATAGCCCTGCACCCTTCCAGCACAGTGTGGCAGCCAAGGCCCAGCCCTCCTCCCAGGGCCCAGTTCCTATGACAGAAGCTTTGCTGTGAGACCAAGGAGGACACAGGCACCACCTCGCTTGTATCTGGCGAGACACACACGAAGGTGCACACTACACTGCCTTCAGAACATCTCATCAGAATAGTCAGATCACGCCTTCAGCATGGTGGCATCTGCAGCCACATCCCACGTACAGCCTCAGCCAGCAGGGATTACAGCTCTTCCCATTTACACTGTCTTTTGGCATTAAGCCACTGCAGGACAGTAACATCAGCCACAGCCCCCTCAGAGAGGCTTTCCTTTTTTTCCTTTCTGGATGACTTTGCAAGAACAGCAACTGTTGAGCCATCTGCTATTTCAGTCACTGCTGCACATGAGAGCTCCCCAGCAACTGTTTCTGCGCTGCCCACTGCCTCTCAGGGAAAACGCATGGGACAGATGTGGACCAACCACGAGCAAGGTTCCAGATGGAGAAGGTGCATGTGTTTGTCCATCTTTATGTCTGTCATCAGGGTGTTTGAACTTATGCAAGTCCCAACAGGTCTACCTGCAGCCCGGCTGCTGGCATGCCACTTTCACAGGGGAAGAAGTATTTTTGATTGTTTATGCTCATTTTCTGCCCAAACCTGATCCATTTAATGTAATCATTATTGCCTAAACATTTTTTTCTTTAAATACTAAAAGTGTCAATATGATCATCATTCTTTTAAGTAAAAAATAAACTCAGGTCTTTTTCTAGTAATGCTGCAGGAGGGATTTGCTTTTAGTTATAGCTGAAGGGCAAAGTAAACCCACTCACCTACTGCTGCGGCTGCTGGCAGGGTGCTGAGACGCCTTGTTCTGTTCATAATGGAGCCATCTGACCCCCCTGAAAAACAGCTGAGGAAGGCTTTTCTCTGCACAAAGATAACAGCAGGGCTACTTTAGAAATGTTTCCAGGTTCCTTCCCAAGTTATCATCACAGAATTAATTTGATACAAGTTTAACACCCCCTCTGGCAGCACCAAAGAGCCGAGTCTTTTGGCGTGACTCGATGGCTGAAGCCGGGCCCGTCGGTGTTCGACGTCGAAGTTCCTCCTCTGTGGTAACAGAGAACGAATAAATCCCGGCAGGGACCAGACCTGTTCGGAGCAGCCGCGGCCCCCGGCACAGCGAAGCCCGTGAGAGCCACCTAGTGACTGACGGTATTTTGCTATCGTGCAGGGATAAACCCCGGCTATTTAATACCAGAACCCAGTTCACGTTCTGTGACCGTGTTCTGACGAACATCTGTTAACATTTAAGCGGCTCCAAACAATGGATGTGCTCTCATCACAGCCATCAGGACGTTACCCATGCCCTGGGCGCTGTTAGCTGAACACTGAAACATGACAGCAGACTTACCTCGGTTACATTTTGCAAATTCCTTGTTTTTAAATGAACAGCGCTGAACCCAGAGTGTTCTTTTAAATGCAAGGGAGTTTTAAATAGAGAAACTAATAAAGAGCTACTAAAAGACTTTGAAACAGGGAACTTTTAAATTGCCGAAAGCACACAGAGATAAAGGAGGAGCATCACTATACCAGAACACTTAAAAAAAAAAAAGTCTAAATCCCCCCTTTCTGAAAAGAAAACCATGCCACAAAGCCTTTGAGAGCAAATTTTTATTAGGGTAGCAGAATGGAATTGCAGGAAGCCTATACCAGTACTCCTGGGTGTAGTTTTACCAGCATGTTGTATTTTGGATATTAAACTGCACGTTTAGAATTCAGCATGGCTTGGGGAACCGGAGAGAACAAGAGCTTGATTTCCTGAGTTAACATAGGACTTCATACTGTGATTTATTTTCCTCAGACTTCAAGCATACAGCACAGTATCTGATCTTTTTCCAGAGGGCTGCCTACAAACAAAAGCCATCACTTGGGTTACACATCTTGTAGTTTAGAAAATGAACTATGCCGAGCACACCCAGAGAACTGATGGCAATATCTGTCTTCTATGTGACCTTTGCAGATGAAATCGGAATAGCTGGTGTAGCGCTGCTGTAGGCCTGCAGGGATGGACTGGAGCTCCTCGTGTTACACAGCCCTTCCAGCTCCCTTCAACGGCATCCGAGTCACACCGGTTCAGAGAAACGCAGTCTTTGACCTGAGAGGCTCACAACCAGAAAGTATGCGATTGAGTAGTAACGAGGGCAGCCAACTAGTGCTACAGTCTTGTTTTAAATAAAATCTCAAGGATGGCGAGTTTCCATGCCCACAGACATGATCGGAAGGTACAGTGACTCACGTGATGCGGAAGTTACACACTTCAGCTTGACAGATAATTTGGCATTGTTTTATTATGAATCCGAGCGTGAATGAAACAAAAGCAGTACCAACTTTCTGCAAATGAAGACACAAGAGATGTGAAAATCTGGTAATAGACAGTGCTCTCACAAGCCTGAAAACACTCAGGAAATGCAAGTTTCATGTAAATAAGGTGAATGTGGTTTATTTACCTGCCAAAGAATCTGTCTAAGAACACTTAAAACATAGAATGTCTTAGCTTCCTAACTTATAAAAACAAAGTACTTTCAGAGGTGAGGTACTGAGCTGTCATTGTTTACACTAAGTCGAAATGAAAGCCGGATGGGAGGGATGAATGAAGAAATAGCAAATATACAAGACATTAAAACCAAAAGAGACCTACTGCTTGACACACTAGTTCTGAAAGGTTGCAAAGGCAGAGGCTGTATTAAATCTGAATTTAGGAGTGCAGACAACCACCTGGGTACGAGGGATTTTCTAACTCAGCTTCCTGCATATCACAATGATATGTGCTCCCCAATCCCTGTGGATTTGTGGAGATTTGCTTAGTAACCTACCCAAGTTCAAGAGGCGGGAGGAGGCGGCAGTTTGACTGCATGGCAGTTTGACTGTAGCTACGGTCACGCTTTAGGCTGGGGAAGAAGTGGCGTAGGCAGAAAGCAACAGGCGCAGTAAAGGACGCGCAGTTCTGAGCAGAAAGGGCTTCCCCCTTCAGCATTTGCAGGGGGCCCGGCAGCAGCAGGAACACAGCTCTGCCTGATGAGGTTAGAATGACACAATGAGACCTGATGCACTCATTACATCATCTAACCTGTGTGGTTTCACAACACAGGAGCAGCAGCAGCGAAGCGCACTCCCTTACAGGTCAGTGCTCAGCCCTGCTCTCCTCCCATTCTCAGTCAGAACTGTGCAGCAATTGGGCTGGCACATGGCACAAGTGCCATCCCATTAATACATGGATATTTGTTACGCATTCTGATGGAGAAGTGTTCCAAGATGGGCAGCAGTGCTGCCAGATTTAGTACTTGAATTCAAAATTAGCATCTCCAGATGACCAATTTTTAACTCAAAACACAGTTCATCGCTTTGGTACCTCTTGGTCCCCAGTTTCTGAAACTCTTCTGAACTGGTTGGGCTGTTGTTCTGTGGGTGCGCGTCCCCAGCTGCTCTGCAGAGGTGTTAGGAACAGAAGTGAAAGAAGTTTGTAATCACATTCCACTACTCACTTGCTATAGAATTTTTTTCCCCAAAGTTTTCCAAAAGCAGGACATGAGCCGTATTTTAATTCAATGACGCACACAAAAACTTGGGTTTCCCCGTTTAATAAACATTTGGTGGTAACATCAGCCAGATTTACATGAGACCTGGACATTATTTCTGATTGGTTTTGTGGGATCTGTTGATTTATTATGTTACAAACTGAAGTTAAGGGGAACTTGCAGCAAGTCCCACAAAGCACAGTGCAACATTTGGAAGGAAAAGTAAACAAAACTGCCAAACACTCAATCATTTTCTGCCAGAACTGGGATATTCTTTCCTAAGACATCGGCTTGGGGAGGGGGATAAAATCCAATAAAGAACTGAGTGAACTCAAGATAGTGGGAACTGCAGAAAAAATAAGTGACAGCCGCAACCTTTTCAATTTAAGGGCAGAATATAAGTCTAAGATATTTTTGATAAATTCTGACAAGAAAAAGAAAACAGCATACTTTAAAGTATATTGAAGCAGTGATTTTTAAACAAAGAAAGCAGAACTAGAACATCTTAAATTTTAATCCTTTCTTTACAGGTTACCTAGCCCACTTTTGATTAAGAAAACTGTAGAAAGTTAGTAACAGCCACAAGTTAACACCGAAAGGTGGCACTTGTCAATTTTCCATAGAGTCCTGCTTTACGGGGTGTCTCAAATGCACTGCTCCGATCTTCTATCATACGTTGCTGACACCAACTGTGTCAGGTTTTAGTCCACTGGTCGCTTTTCACCATATTTCTTTGTAAACTCTTCAGCGTTCTTACAGAATTTTTTACGGTCCTTAGAGTATTCTTCAGCTAGGTCAGCCCGAAGGGGGTGCTCGGGCTGTGGATCATTCACCAGTGCTATGAGAGACTGGATTACTGTCAAAAGAAGTATAAACACCGTCAGGCCAAGATGGTTCATTTCGAAAACATCAAAGTGCAAGCAAAATTCCCCAGTGAGAAAAGAGCTTTAACTGCCTTTAAATACGTCCCATAAACCTGGGTATGAATGAGCCATAGCAATGTGCCAAGATTGAGTTCAAGGACTGTGAATGAACACCAGAAAATCCTACTTGTAAACAAAACTTGAATGGAGACCAAAACACACTACAAACTATTTCCCATGTAACTGGCATCCCATCCAAAATACTATGGCTAAGGAAGAGCCTGTTTCATGGACAAGTCCATCTAAAAGGGCTTGGGTGACGAGGGGATTTCCATCGTGAAGCATTTTTCCTATCACCTGTCACAATAACACAGCTGTAACCAGACTGCATTTGGAAACCATTTCTCAGCTTTCTTTATCTACAACTGTTACTTACAGGGAACAACTCTTCCCTTTTTTCTGAACTGCCAAATGCATCCACTGGCCCAGCCACCTACGCTGGGCAAACAGATGGGTAAGAACTACAGGATGCTTTTCACCCCCCTGTGTACAGCCATTTCATCAACATTCCCCATCACTTTCAAAGGAAATGTCATTCTTAAAGTAACTGAGCTATACTCAACGCTCAGGCAGCAAACCTCACACCACAGTGACATTTATTGCTACATTTTCCCCATATACATTCTCCCAACCAATTAAAGCCAGACAGGTCACAGCAGGCAGGGAGCTCCCATGTCCATCTGCTAACAGGCACACGTGTAACTGGGCAAGTCTACAGAAAGTGTGGACACAGGAAACGCACTTTGCTGTGCAACAATATTAATACTGCATTTGAGATAAGTTTGGGCTACCCAGAGTAACACAAAGCAGCACCCCAAGAGTTTCCGAAGCAAGTGGAACAGAACTGTTACCTTTGTGCATCGCATGGTACAGCCAGCTGCCTCCTGCTGTGCTCCCCAAACAAACCAACCCGCTAGCCACAGGGAGCTCCACAATTGAGCTACACATCAGAGCCCGTCGCTTGTTCTGAAGCTGCCGCTTTGCAGTTTAAGTGGATCCTCCCTACTTTTGCAGTGTCAGTTCCTACAATGCTGGTCACTCCAGTAGATGCCAGGATACCAGAGTGGCTTCTTTAAGAGCACTGATTTTTTTCATGCTCATATTCTTTTCCACCCTGATCTGACAGGAATGGGGAAGACACCTCAAAACAAACACTCAAAATCCAGAGAAGCACACCCATCACTATACTGCTGAACAGGAACAGTTCTTACCACAAACCAGAGCTTAAACTGCAACAGCTACCTAAGGAATTTATAAATGATACTAGCTCACTTGGCAGGAACTCACCAGTCCTGGACTTCTAACAACTGTCATCATACTGATCATTACTTATGAAATCAGCATCAATACCACATGCAACAATCTCTTCTCACTGAGAACAAACTTGCTAAAGCACTATAGAGAAAGTGTTACTGTGTAAGCACACAAGCTGTTGAGGAGCTTCCTCAATACCCACAGCATTTAAAAATGACACCACAAAGGTCTGTATTAATAGTAAGCATAAACTAATAGAAAGTGCAGCAGTAAGATGCACATTTAGTCCATGAAAGGCAAATCAGTGACTTACACTGAACCTAATCTCTCCCTGTTCTTGACAACTGATTATCAAAACCAAACACTTGGATGCTACACTTATCACCTTGCATTACTGGAGTTCATTTCTCAGTGCAGAAGAGTTCAGGAGAAAAGGGAACAGGCACTTGAGCAAGGCTGTAATAACATTGTTGCAGGTTCATACAACCATGTAGTAACAACAGATGCTGACACTAAAACAACTTCTTGAAGAAAGAGTTAAAAGACAGATGGAAGACCAGAAAACAGCAGAAATGGAGAGATCTGCAGTATTTTGGTACCCAGGGCTTGTTCCAGATTCTGATTTTAGCACAGCTTTTATTCACTCAGTTAAAAAAGGAACTGCTCTTTCTCAGGGAGACACTGACTACTTCCTGCATGCAAACCACTGTTTCAGCAGTTCCACAACTAACGCCACTTGCATTTCAAGCTAGGCAGACATATGGTGCCTTTACTTCACAAGAGAAGTGCCAAGGTGTTAACAGAAACCTGCTACATATTGTTTCCATTTCATGCCTTCCAAGGATCTTTGTCCTGTATAATCGGGAATTAATCAACCACAAATGGCAAGATCCTCACTGACCTATTTCACAGGTTCTTTTTGCCGCCCCTTTGGCTTTCCCCAACATGCAACTGCTTGGTCTTTACTGAAACAACTACAGGGATTTTTCCATTTCATCTTTGTGGCAAAATCATGCAAACTGTGAGTAGTTTTGTTAGCACACAGAAAAAAACAATTTCCCGTACAGCATCGCCTACTATCAGCAACACAGTTCAAGTGAAAATAACCTTACAGAGGACTGAAAGAAGAAACTACCTCTTCCTACAGAGGAAAACACTTCTGTGTCACTGATGCTCCTGTAATGAACACTACTCATTTGAATTAGTGTTATTAAAAAAATACACAGTTCAAGGATGTTTGCTCTTTCTACAGGTAAAATAATAAATGCTTAATATCAAACCAATCATTACCTGACCGAAAACATTACATTCTCACCCCAACTAAAGGGAAGCAACAACAACAGAAATAAAACCCAACTCGGATCCCACTCTCAGTCTGCCACAGAACCTGATGAAACTTTTTTCCTTAAAGTGTTTGAATTCTTACCCAAAGGCACTCGACACAGCAAACCTCACAGCAGCGATCTTTTAAGATCCAAGAGTTTATTTGCATTATGGCATCAGGTTTTGTTTACGACTCCCTATGTATTTCAAACCTTATGTTCAAATCACGGAGCCACACGGCAGAGAGCTACACAAAGCCTTGAGGTTTAGGTCCTTAGGTACAGGAACATCATGAACACCTCTGAACTATAAAGTTTCTGTTTAAAAAGAAACAGGAAATAATCCCCTGACAAAATCCCACCGGAGTTTTTAGGCACATTGAGCACACGCCCGTGATAAACTGCTCAGTCATGAAGAGTGTTGTGGTTTCCAGAGGAGGCAGTGCCACGCGTCCGCGTCATCACCTTACGTTCCAACAACAAAACGAGATTCCACAAGAGTTGCTCACAGCACCTGACTCATGACACAAATCTTATGACAATGAATACGCCGTAAGAGCAGTGACCAGATGACGAGCTTTACATTTAAACACAATATACGGGTTTTGATACCCAGCTCTTTCTCCACATGGAGTCCTACCTTGGTCAGTTTTGGTTGCTGGCTTCCAGTTTTCAGCACTAATTACTGGCAGACAAACCTGCCCCTTTTCATCGATGTTAGGGTGATAGATCTTTGTTTTAAATGTAATCTTAGGAGGTTTGAATGGATATTCTGCTGGGAAGTTGATTTCAATTCTGAAGGCTCCTTTATCATACGGAGGATTGTCCTGCAACAGGAAGGCAAAATGTCAAGAATCTGGCATATTCTAATGGATACAATTAAGTAAAAGCATGCTCCGGGCTTCTATCAATCAAATGACCTCTTCTAAAGGCACTTTTTTCCAACACATACTGCTGTATCTGTGCATCAGGAAACATCAAAACCTACTTGGTAAGAGAAAGGCACGACAGCCTCTACCTCTGTGTTCACCCTGAAATCAGCTGACACTTCTACTGGTAAGAAAGCATCCAGTCCCATTTACTCCAAAGTCAAAGTCCTATCTACTAGGTAGCTTCACTCCCAACTTTGTGTTCCAAAAAGCAGTGTAAACCCTTTGAGATACAAACAGGAAGCTGACAAGGAAAATTGCTCTCTCTAAACCTAGCTATTTTATGTGTCTCACAACACAGCAAAGCAATTTGATTTGTCAGATTTCCCTGTACGTTCCGAGAACATTTTTGTGCTGACTACACAGAAATGTGCTGAGTATTCAACAGCACTAAAGATAGATATTCACTGCGTCTGCTGATGAGAACATTCTGAATTTGTACGCAGTTTTAGCACCCACTCTTATCAGATCATTGCTGAAGGAGCACGATGAGAGAAACCTGAAGTAAGCCAAGTAGTGCTTCATGCTGCAACAGAAAAAACAATGCCCAGAATCTCATTTAGAAAACCTGTGAGACTATTGTTAGTGCTTCAGATGCTAACTGCAGAAGAAAAATAAACTATTGCTACATGTAAAGCTTATGAAAACACCATTCTGCACCAAAAACAGTAACTATGGCATGAAGCCTTTCCAAACACTCTGGGAACAAGAATCAAAGGATGAAAGTTTCCAGTTAGTGTGAAGTACAACCACACACATTCTTCATGAGCAACCAAACCACTCCCTGCAATCAAACCCACCCCAGGAGCTGAAAAAGGCATACTAATATTTGGAGGTGAAGAGCATTCTATTAAAATACTGTTCAACAGAACACATTTAGTTTTAGTTTTATCCATATGGAGACCCCTGGCTGTGCGTTTCTAAGTACGGCAATGATTTCTGTGGTCAAGGAAAGGTAACTGGAGTGGCTTGAAAACCACTTTTTATCCAAGCAACCCTAAATACTTTGGAAGTTTTACAAGTAAGTTGTGGTGGTGGTAACAACTGAAGCAGTTAGTGCCCTCTTCCCCTGCAGCTCACTTGCTCTTGTCTCCCTCACATGGTATAGTTTGTGAGGATGTTCACTGAACTGATATGGGGACTGCCCTGGCTTAAAACTGTGCATTTTCTGCTTGACTTTCAGTCAGAATAGTCCTTCACTATAACCCACCAATAAATTGAACAAAAAATGTATGTAAAGAGCTGTTTGTGTTTTCAACAGACAAACCAGAATATGCAAGCAATCAGTCTCCAATTATTTGCTGTATTTGTTTTGACACTGACAAGGGAGAGAAGCAGAATCATAAATACTAAACCACAAGTGACAAACATAACTAACACTCACTTGGAGTATTCTTAGTCTGCAAAAGTTTGTCCATAGCAAGCAGCTTTGCTTGAGTGACATGAAACTCACAGTACACCAACTGTACCTGACAAGAACATGGAGCCTGGGGCAGATAGACTTGTTTTGATGTTGAAATCAGTGTACCTTTACCATGCACAGTACAAACTACATAAACTATCTTATTCTACGGAATAGGAAAAGGAGTTGACAAGCTGTCTTCAATTTGCTTCTCAACTGAGTAAACACCCTTAAGAACTATCGGTGGTTCGGAAGAACAAAGTATGTTACACACAACAAAACCTTTTAAAGCAGTATTGCTTGCAATAATTCTGGATGAACACTGGTAAAAATACCAACCTTTGCATCTCTCACACCTTCATTAAGCAGCTAACCAAAGTAATGCCTAGTTATAACAACTGATAACTGGTTAGTCCTGCTAAAGTAGGAGTGATAGATCTTTAAACACAAAGCAGCAACATTTTCTAAAATGGAAGCAGCATGTAAACCTTCAAAAGCAAAAACTGAACTGACAACCAGCTTGTGCATTAGAGCTTGAAGCCATCAACTGCAGCATTGCAACAGCTACAAAATTATGCTAAGACTAAAGCATCTTCTATAGCGTACCCTGAAAATAATAAACCATACTCTTTGAACACTTACAACACAACAATTAATTACTATAGGAATTGTAATTTCATGACAAAATTCCCTCTTAACTTGAGCAATCATTAGTAAATTTAAGGTTATTTCCTCTGTAACAGGGCCTGTTATAGACCACAAGGCAGGTATGAAGCATCGTTTGCGGCATCTAAACACTTAAAATGTGAACTTCTGCAAAACAAACAGTAGGTTTCTAGTGAGCAGAAACTGTTAAAATAGATGCTGTACACCATATATTGAGGATTTTAACAGGAATAAATATTTTGGTGTTTTGCTTTATCATTCACATTTACCAGTCTTGTACTGCTTCACAGTTTTATCAAAGCAGCAAACTGTTACACATGAACCACAAATATCCAAGTGGCTTATTAAAGATCTGCCATATTTTAATGTCAAATCCCGCTTGCTTTATTTGCAAGCGTAGCCTCAGCCACTCCAAGGAACTCCTCCGGGAATATAAGTAAGCAGTAAACTAAAGGTGTTCTACAGTATTTAAAGGCCTAGCCATTACCTCAGCATGCATGACCTGAATTCAGGAATGGCCTCCAACTAACAAAGCAGCAGCACTGCTAAAGAGATGTCTCAAGGTCTTATAATACAAAACCAGATTGCCACTGGTTGTGGTTTCAGGGTGACCATTCAGGCAGCTCCCAATGAAAAGCAGAACCAATGCCCAGTAGTGGCACAGCCTCTACTGCTGCAGGCTTAGAAGTAGCTCATGTAACAAAGGGAGCACGGGCCATGACAGCAGAAATTACAAGAGGTGAAAAAAACAAGTTGACTGTCAACCAATGAATTTAATATACCAGATTTCCTGCTTTCCCCTCTCTATTTGACCGATACAGCAGTTATCTACTTCTGTCAAACATTCTCTTACAAGACTGCAGTGCTTTTAAAAATATGAATTGTGTTTTTTAATTAATGCCTAAATAAAGAGACTTCCTTTTAAAAGCTCACTTCTGAAAACCTAAGCCCTTTCCTGGCATCAAACCTTTTCCAGTACTCAATTTTCTCCTAGAAACGCAGCCAGTCGATTAAAAAAAATTAAGGAGTAAACAAAATTTTTCATCTTTTTTTTTTAAAGAAATTGTACTTTAAGCTTAATGTAATAAACCACAAACTTCATTTGCTCCCTGCTTCCAACACCCCTCCCAAGTAACCCGGTGCCAGCAGAGTCCACAGCGCTTGCCAGCTGTGGCCCCATGTTGGACCAGGCCTACAATAAGGAAGCATCCAAGTAGGTATTGACCACAGACCTTTCAATTACATATGGATTTTTCTTCAGGCTAGTTGCAAGAAATAACCTCCTAACATTATCAGTCTGGGATAAAACCAAACACAGAAGACACTCAAATAAAAGGAGACAGGGAGATCACACAAGAGGTCTGAAAAGAGACAAGAATGAAATCCAGGAGCACATTTCACTGCCCAGAGTATGTCTAAGATGCTGCTGAATAAACTTACACTGTATTTATGAACAACCAGCTTCTGCACAAGCCCACAGCTGTGAAAGCCAGGGTTTATAGAAATCAAAGAGATTGTCAGGGTGCAAACATTATCTAACGGTCACCAGCAGTGCTACTGAGCTATGGATTTGAGGGAGAAATGATCCTCAGTTTATTTTAAAGCTCACTGGAATAAAGAGTGATCTATACTCACAGGAACAATAAGCCCTTGCCAGGTCAATAAATTAGCTTCATCAACCTGGATATTACGGAAGTTTTTCATTCCACATTTGCGGATTTCTTCAAGCTCCTGAAAAAACAAAGTGTAAGTTAGTGACAGTATTAAGAAAGATGCTCATGTCCACTCTTCAAAACACTCAGAGGCCAACGTGGGTTTCTTTAACACTAAGAAGTTTGAGGTTTCAGTGGTGCAGCCCACACAGACAAGAAACGAAATTGTGTGCTGTGAGAAGTAAAATTCTCTGAGTCAAGGGATTAGAAACCCACTTGTGTATGTGTGTGTGCGCCTGTGTGTCAGGAAAATACAACCCCACATTGTTATTAACACTGTTCCAGACACAACAAAGTAAAATGCATTTAAAGGTGTTTTTGTATCTCAAACTGAATTCAAATTTAGAAGTCCTCTATAGTTACATATAAAGCTTTCCTGGTGCTTTCAAAACTGAAGCACATGCCTGCATGTCCACATAGGCTAGGAAAAATGTTGCTTATACAGCAACACTGGAGAACTCTGCAGCACATAGCTCCTCACTGGGCACTAGTGCATTTGCAGAACTGAGCTGTGTATCACTGATAAAACACCAACTACAGCAAAGGCACTGTGCCTGAAAACAAAGAAAGATCAGTTTTCCTGCTATGAGTGCTCTACTGCCCAGGTGTTTTTCCTAAACCAGCTCTGTGTTCATCAAACCTTTCTGCATCCGACTGGCAGAGATTTAATACTTGCAGTAATCTCTTGCATAAACTTAGCATCACGATAAAAACCCAATGGGAAAATGAGATTTCCAAATGCACATTAAAAAACCCAACAAACCCCACATGACAGCCACGCATCAGATGAACATTTAGATTCCCACCCACTGCACTCACAAAAGCAAGAGCATACTCAGAACACTATAGTTTTAACCTCAGAGTCTTGGATGCTGAACGGATGCCCAATACAGTCTTCATCACACTGCACCCAACTATTTAGTCTAGGCCTGTGGACTAATCCCCAGATTCCACTGCTGTTAGATTTATGCAACATCACACACAGTTTGGGTGGTTTATTTTGGGGTTGTTTTTTTTTTAGAAAAGGATCAGAGGATTATCCTATTTCCTTACAGCAGGAAAACATATTAAACCCACCCAGCAATCCCATGAGCACATTTACAGGGATACAGAGCAACCCAAAATACTCAAAAGAAAATAACCTTTATTATCACAGCTATAGGAGATCCTTTCTGCCCACTGAAACTGCCTCATGGTAGTGCTGAGTGCTCAGAGCAGCAGCTGAGGCAGCGTCTGACTGAACCAGACCATCTCTCCCATCAGGGTCAGGACAGTAACTCAGTTGTGAGCAGTTCACTTCCTACACATACAGAACTGCGAAGTCCTGGCAAACCACTACTCCACAATATGTAGAAGGGATAAATCCCATTCCACACTAGATGTAATGTACCAAACACTGGGAACAAAATAAGCTAATTAACCACTAGGTATTTAAGCATAAATAAACATGCATCACAAGTACCTTCACTCTAAAAGAAGGAAAGAAAAACAGGTTTGGACAATTTTCTAGTTACTACATTAAAAACATTATCCACAGGACAGAAATGCCCCCACAATGTCCCAGTGGGAGTGCAGCTTCCATGCAGAACGAGTTCAGATGATAGCATTAACACCGTTTCTGGCCCAGAGAACTATTGCCCAGACACAGAAAGAGGGAATACTGGGATTCCACAATTCAAGTGTGGCTACTAAGCTAATAGAACAAACTAGAAAAGCATGGCTTCGCATTACAGGAGAACTGAACACCTGATTTCATAACTAGATTCAGGTTAAAAAAACGGATGCAGAATTAAGAAATGCGAGAATCCAACACAGAGATCATTCCAAACTATAAAACTCTATATGAAATGAAAGAAAAGTTTAAAACAAGTATGAAAATTGCTCCCCATTTTCCCTCAAGTCCACCACATGAGAGAGGGAAATAAACAGTCTAAAGGACACTAAAGAACTAGCTGAAAACAATTCAAACATCTTCCTCTTTACACTGACCTGCGAAGCCTTTGCAGGAATTCACTTTCAGAATCAAGAAAGTGCTAAATTACTTCAGTGTATCAGGACTATATCCTGTGCTGCTGCTGCCTTGGGTCCAACACACGAATAGATGGGGATAAATGAGGCAATTCTTTTCCTCCCACACAGGCAGGGCTGCAAAGAGAATCAAACCTACCTTGGCAGAGGACTTGCCTGAACTCCATGCTTAAGACAGATTCCAATTCATTTATAAGAGAAATCACTTATACCCAAAGTGTTTAAGATTTCATGTCACTCCCAACTAACCAATTCCATGTCAGACTTGCTTACAAATAGCTTGGTTTTCATTCTACTGTCCCCACAAACACAACGCAATATTATACTCCTAAGTCATGCTGTTAGAGGTCTTGTATCTAGTGCTCCATAAGATTCACCACTCATTTAAGGGTGTGAAGGGAGGCGTTTTGTTTTCTTTTCTTCTGGCAAGTATCAAACCCCACAGTAAAGTTCGAACTGCCTCAGAGCTCCAGAGGCAGACACAACTACACTATAAATGTGCTGCTAAAAAAGTGAATGAGCTACTAAATACTTCCAAACAGCACAGATTAAGAGTGGACACCGCATTTAACATGGGCTTGAACAAGTCCAAAGGGACAAAAATTACTTTATGTGGTAAAAGGATACAGTCCAGATATTTAATTCAAAATACTACTTAAGAGTCTAGGCAGACAGTAAATAGATTAATTCCTTTTCTTGTCCTCCACCCCTTCATTTCATCAAGTAACATAATTAAAGGAGCAAGTGAGGAGTGTAACTAAAGGTTGAAGGACTGCAATAAGGGCTTCAGTCAGCCTTCATGCCCACTGTTATCAACCTTGCACGTGACCTTGCTGCACTGGGCTTCCCCATTTGGGAAACAGAAAAGCCTTATTGCACAGGCTCTCGAGAGGGGCTGTTTGCAGTTTAGCTGTATTCAGTGTTACACACAGCGCACGAAATGGAGAAAACATTTCGGAGGTGGTGCCTGATCTCCAAGTATAACGCTGAAGGTGGCCATAAAAGCACGCGCTACCTCTCATACAATAAGGATTTAAAACTTTGATTTGCAATATTGTGTAATCATTCGTGGTGTTCAGCACAAAATTCTGTTTCTGAAATTGAAAATTAGTTACATCAGCTTAAAATGCAGTTGAGTCATTTAAAACCCTGCAATTGTTTTGGCCATCCATCTTTCAACTGTTGGGACTTCTCTAACAAACCAAGCCAGATAGGAAAATGCAGACAAGCAGTTGTAGGAGTGCAATCCAGGAATATGGGAATACGCCTAAGAGCTCACATTGACTTCGGTAAGCTCTGCATCAAGCCCAAAATGCTATTAAATGCCAAAGAAAACCAAGTCTCCTGAAATACCTCTAAAACATGACTCTCTACTGTTTACAATTTGTGCTTCCCTATTTATAAACACGCTCTCTAAAAGCAGCCTGACAAAGATAAACAGGCTCCCCAACACTGATAAGGCACAGTTTTACTTTCTGAACCTCAAACAGAGAAGTGTTAAAACACCTTAAAACAAAACATGACTTTAGCAAAACAAAGCCACAAAACCACCCAAAAAGCAAACCAAATTCTGGCTCTTACAAGAACTATCAGCAAGTTACCTCTGCAACATTACAATCCTGCATGCTCCCGTCTTCTATTGACCGAGTAATTCTGCTTTTTGGCAAGGTATTTTCATTTGATTAAAAATCCTTTTGCCAATTCTCAGTTTCAAAATGGGAAAACGCATCAGCGTTCTCCTGTCTGCATCAGAACAATTGTACAGTGCTCAAAGCCACATTTCCCTTGTTACTGAGAAATGGTGTTGGAGCCAATTTAGAATACCAAAGTTGTTGAAAGCCCCTTTCTTTGGGAGGGCTACAGTGTGCACCAGCTCCCAGCATACTGGAGATCACAGGCCATCCACAGCAGGTACCTGGGTGTGGCCTCGTGTACCTGGCTTTTGCCACAGAGTTCACCAGTTGCATAAATGTCTGACTGCAATTGTGGAAGCAGAATGAACACAGTAAGATTAAAACAATCGCCAGCACACCTCACTACGCATCTGAAGTGTTATTTACGCTTCAAATCCGGTTTCAATTTTTAATACTAAAGATACTTTTTAACAACTACACCCAAGAAAACAAAAGCGAGGACTTTAGACACCTCAGCTCGATCACATCACACATCAACACAGAAGGGAGCAGCTCCACACATGGGACAGGACAGCCTCCTCCAAACGCAGCCGTTGAAGGTGCATCTCAGTACCGCACACTAGTACACCATCAGACAAGTACTCCAACTATCTAGCACCGAAATAGCCTTCCCTTCACAACTACCCACTACCTCTCCACATAGTTTTTGGCTACGGATCTCAGCTGGAGAACGGCTTGTTTTACATTAGCGGGTGGCAACTGTGAAAAGCATTTCACTGAAATCTCTGGCATGTCTCTTGGAGATCTATGTTCCCAATCATACATGTTTGGAGACAGTCTGCTTTTTATGAGAAAGGGTCATGAAGCAAAGGAGCTCCCTTCAAAGAAGCAGCCTTAGATCCTTCCCTAAATATAATTACTCTACACTGGTCTGTTTTTACCCTGAGAGATCATCCATAACATATCCCTGACAAAGACTGCTTTATTCCCACCTCTCACATTTCATGAGGAGTCAAGATCTGACAACTGTGGCTCTTTGAAGAGGTGTAATGGTGGCTCACAGATCAAAACTCCACCTCAGATGTCACTGGAATATGATTCATTAGCTATGTTTATTGCACATTTCGCTAACCTAGGAGAGCTCCTGGGAAGGGCACACCTCCACCGATTTCTGTGAATCAGCACAGAGAACTTCACTTAGCCTATTTGATGGTAAAAAGCTCTGCAAAAATAGGCCATAAATAAGGTATTTGGCCTAGGAAAGGTAATTTGCTCAACAGACCCTGAGATAACAAGACAATCTTATTCTTGTTATAACTTGACTTTCTGTTTCAAAGTGAACGGTACAATGGCAAAATTGTGCTGCTTCTTTCACAAGGAGGCTTGCAAACTGAAGATACAAAGGCTTTCAGAAGCTGGAAAGGACTCCCATTTCCACCTGGAAGAGGAAAGCTATACTCATAGTCCCAGTTTTCTACAGGCAGACAGCATGTTATTAGGAGCTCACTACATGCAGCCTCTCTGAGCCACTGTGATTAACACCAATAGCTACGATGCATGACACGAGCCCAGAAAAAATGCAGCACTTCAAAATGTTGGCAAGACCTGAAGGAAATGGTAATTGTTTTATTTTATGTGACCTATAAAAGGGTCAAAGTTTGTTCTCACTTACTGAAGACAAACCTGATATTTAGCTTGAAGAGAAGACAGTTAATGCTTATCCTAAATTAAACATAATTGAGTGGCACACTGAAAACCTCTGCTTCCTTTAGTTATAAACACTCATTCTACAACCCTGAGAAAGACACACCAGAGACTCTTCCACAGTGCAAAACACCACCGTGAAAGACTTTTTTAAAGCAGGTCTATGCATTTGGAACTTTAACGATACTGAGCTGATACACATGAGAGTCTGGACCTTTGAAACATCACATTGCAGCAACCCAGATTACATCATCTGTACCAGAGCTCTACCTTGTTCCTACCGAGTTGAATGGCAAAACTCAAAGCCATTTGGGCTGTGACTCGACTCTCCAAAAGGCATGAAGGTGGCTGCTTACTGAATAGCCTTTACAAACCATGGGATGCAGCACCTCACAGCTCTTGAACTGGCACAAAACACACAAATGCAACCCACAAACGTCAGGCAATAGAAATGAAAGTAAAAATTTAAGAGGGAAGCGACTGATGCCTCCTTCCTTCCTAGACCCCTCCCTCCGAGCAGCAACTGCCACACTGTTCTCCAAAAAAGAAGGAGGTCATGTTGTCAAAATCCATTTTTACAGCATTTCAGTGGCAGATTAAAGCACTAACTAGCTTTCAGAAGTACACTGGAACTGCACTGAGGAGCAGGACTGAACAGCAAGAGGCTCTGCAGATAGTAAGAACAATTTTTTTTTACTTTAATGTCAAGATTTTAATGTTCTAGTTTAAATTTCAAAAGAAGGAATGATTGGAAATATGTTTCCCCTACCAGAACAATAATGACATGCTTTTGGAGAATTAACACTTTGGTTCAAAACAGGCAGAAAAGCTGGCTTGCAAGCATACAGAATTAAATGGTTGTTTACTATCAGAAACTAAGGGAAACCTCATTTCAGTATAAAGCTATAGATACACTGATGACAAAACTAAAGCTGTGCCAATACATAACTATCAAAAATGAAATACAGAAATGAATGCCCTCTCATCAGGATCCTTCAGGACAATTAAATTGTTACTAATTTAATATATAGGAATGACTGCACACAACGTATCCACCAGGTAATGTTTAATCACTCCACAGCCCATTTTAAACAACAAAACTAGCTTTGTAGAAAGCACTGCTGAGCTATTTGTTTCTTCAAAAATAACTAGGCTGCAATGGTTAATTATGTACCTGCACAATTAAGGAAACGCAACTTCAACATTTCTACACATCCCAGCCCCACCAGGGCTCCACGTTCTCAAAGCCAGCTGCAAACCTGATATTCAAATACTAAATATAACAGAATCGCCCCGTATCTGTCAGATCCTAACGCAGGGGTACACTGCACCCCACAGGGACAGGGGTTTTAGTACGACTAAAACGTCACCCGACAGTTGCCGGGTCTTCCCCCTACGTTTCACAGGACCAGCCTGTGAAGTTCATTGATTTACGCTACAGGCACTTCGCATGCAAATACTGTAGGGTATTGCCACAGCACTTTACAGATGACTAAATTTAACACCGCTGTGTATGCACGTCCCAGGCAAACCCCACTGCACGCAGTCTGTGATGTTAACTGGCAATTATACACAACACATAGAATAAACTCGCATGCTTTGGGGTCAATGGTCACCATTTTCTGAAAGTATGTACTCCTCAAGCTAAATGAGGAGAAACACAATCCCAAGCCCTATTTCACAACAAACTAAACGTGCTCCCGGTTAAAGCCCAGCTGAGGCCGCGTTTACATTTACGAGTATCAGCCACACTTCCGAGCAAACACAGCGAAAACAGAAACAGTACCGCGTCCGCAGTGAATAAGGAAACTTCTGAACCCAGGTCCACGTTTCAGCGCGATAAATCTCTTACTCATACAAGGAAGAGGTCACCCTCCCATACAGCGAAAACGAAATTATCTCACCCATGAACGCCCGGGGAAGGTTCCTCAGCAAGGGGGGAGCGGGGCAGGGGCGAACCCTTTCCCGCAGGGCGGGAGGACAGGGCGCTGCCCCGCGCCCGGCCGAGCCCTCCCGCGGGCAGAGCCGGCGACCGCGCCGCGGATGCGGCACCACCGCCGGCGGGGCGACCCCTCACACCGCCCCGGGCAGCGCCCCGGCCGGGGGGCGAGGCGTCCCGGCAGCTCCGTTTTCTTCCCCCCCGGCCCTTCCTCTTTGCTTAGTCACCGCAGGAGCCCCCCGAGGGAGGGGGACGGGGCGGCCCGCTGCGGCCCGCGGCAGCCGCTGAGTGCCCCCACCCAGCGCCGGGGGGCGGCCGGGGGCCGCGGAGCGCTGCTAGAGCACCGGGAGGCGGCGGGAGAGACAGCGCGGCCCCTCACGGCCGCGGCCTAGGAGCCGGCTGCTCCCGTTCCGGTCGCTCCAGCCCGGGGTGCCACCGAGGGGACGGGAGGAGGCCGCCCCGCCGGGCCGCGGCAAGGAACACTGCCCCCCGCACCCGGAGAGGTACCGGGGCGGAGAACGGTGCCCGCTGCCGCCCGCCCACCGGCCCTGCCCGGCGCGGCGCTGGCTCTTACCTTCATCAGCCTCCTGCTGGCCGCCATCTTGCTCTGCTGCTGCCGCCCCACAATGCATGGCGGCGGCGGGCCGGGCGCTACAGCCCTGCGCTTCCTGGGGCGGCGGCGGCAGCGGGGGCGGGCTGGCGGGGTTGGGCTGTGCTCCGCTCCCCTCGGGCCGCGCTGGTCACCGCCCCGCACCGGCGGCCGCAGCGCTGCCCACAGAGCCGGGCCGCGCCGGGCAGCGCCGCGCCTGTGCGGCAGCGCGGCTCCGTCCTGCGGGCAGAGGAGCGCGCCGGGCCGGGGCCCGCCTGCAGCCTCCCGGGCCGGGGCTCCTGCGGCAGCCGCTCGCTGAGGGCCGGCTGCCCGCCTTCCTCCAGCGCTCGGGGATGTCTTTTGTCCCAGCGCGGTTTTAATCCTAGCCCAACGCTTTCACGTTCTGGCGTGGCTTGTTTTATTTACTGGTCATCACCCCAAATCCAGTGTCACTGTGGGGAAAAGGACACCGAGGCGTAGCTGCAGGTTTTATCAAATAACACACACGTGTTATTGGTTAGCTTCTTAAAACACCCGGGGGGTGTGTGTGTTCCATCAGAGGCACCTGATCCACAGAAACCACCCCAGGTACATCCCTGCCCTTAGCACTGCCAGTTCAGCCCAGCCTCACCCCGGCACTTCCAGCCTGCCGTGCCCTGCCGCAATCTCCTTGAGGAAAGCAAGCTGTGGAAGAGGACATAATGTCACTGTCAGTGTCAATCAAGGCTGTAAATGGCCATGTGCTTTTTAGCTCTTTAATGGAGCTCTAATTGTAAGTGCTCTCCTGCTCTGATCCTCCCCAGCTGGCCTCTAGCAATGGCTGCAGGAGCAGTTCAGATACCTGACCATAAGCATCCAGTACCATTTCAGGTGCCCTAGGGTATCCAAGACACGGGGCTAGCAGATATGGGACATAAGTTACCATGCTGTATGACACCTGAAATGCCTCCAGACGTGTGTCCGGACACCTGACCTGCTCCTAAAAACGTTCTCTGCGTACTCAGGAATTACTCCAAAATCTGCTCTGCTGATGCGTGGCCTTATTTTCCCTTTCCCCCCCCTTCATGTCACTTAATCATGTCCTCAATCTAACACTTGTTCTGTGAACAAGTCACGTGAAAAGGTTCTAAGCTCTAAAATAAGCTTTACAGGCTCAGACAACCCGAAAAAGAAGTGTTATGGTTATTACAAGAGGCTTTCAAAGACTTGTAAAAACGCAACAGAAGTTGTTAATTGTAAAGCCCAGGATGTTATCTTCAAATTATCCCCTGATATAGTGATAGTACCTGATAACCAATATTTTGCATTAATATAGTACTTATTGCTCCAAAACTTAATTAACATTTGTTAATGAAGTAAGCTATACAGCACGTACAGGAACCAAGTTAATGCTGCAGCTGCTTCATATAGGTATTATTAAATAATCTGTAAATAATTATTAAACATATTTGGAGATCGTGGTAACTTTATTAAATATCTAAAGATTAGTACATCCAGTTTACTCAAGAAAAATGCAGTCAGAGGCAACTGAAAATGAAAGAGGCAGAGAGCATCCTGGTGCAGTAGCAGAGAGCTGTAGAGCAAGTGAGAGCGCTGACTGGCTGCAGGAGTTACACACTACGTACCCGTGGCAGAGACACGCAGTGTGGAAACAGAAGGTGCAGACTCTAATGAGGATTCTGGATGTGCTGCTGAGATGGGATGCTGGTGGCGAAGATTTAAAAAAGCCAACATTGGATAAAAGGGCTAGCTCAGATCATATGATTCAGAAACACCTCAATGTGATACCATGGTAACTTGGAAGCACGGTTCTTACAACTTATTTTCCAGATGTCTACAAATATGAAAACCAAGCTGCTTCAGAAACTATATTGATTTTTTATTTGCCAGAACTCTATTCATATCCTCATCTCATCTTCATTTGACTGCATAATTTTCCAAGACCACCATATGTCTCCAAGTATTTTCTAACCTATTTTTTCCCCCAAAATAGTTATTCAAGCCCACACCTGCGCTGAGGCACATTGCCACCGCACACGAGAGACACAACTAGAAGCACCACAGAGAATTCCAAATTGATTATATGTAATTTTAATCCACGAATTTATAGCTTGTAAGACAGTGTCAGAATTATCTGGGATAATTATAAATTAATCCACATTTCCTTTGACAAGGACAAAAATACCACCCACACTACAACTAACAATAGCCCAGCCACGTCTTAAGAAATCACTGTTGAGTGCAGCTGTCCTCACAAGTTGCCACTTCATGTTGAAATCCTTTATTACAGCAAGGTGTCTGAGAAGTTTACACAGAGCCAGGCATGTTTCACATACCTGTTGCCAGTATCCTGGATCCTTTCAGTATCTAGTTTCAGGCTGATCCAGAGTAGATCCTGTGGTGCTAACACTGGTGCATCTCCTGGTTTTGAACAAGGGCTATGAAACCATATTGCATCTTGCCTGGGTAAGTTGCTGGCAGTCATGACATGTATAGTTTCAAAGAAGCAGCAGGAGTTTCCTTTCAGACAGAATTTCAATATACCTCTTACTTCCCTGTAAGCACCAAGACCAGGTATTGGTTACACTGAGTTTTGCAGATGGTTTTGCATTTTTTAACCTTTTTTAATGTGGTTTCCAGGTTCTATCTGTTCTTTTACTTGAGTTTTAAGAGTGTCCAGAATACAGCTTTTAATGCTTATTCTGCGATACCTTCAAGGGACTAGACACTACATTTATGCCTGCTCATTCCCAAAGATAACTTTCTACCACATTTCGGCTGTTTTGGGGAACATAACAATTCACCTTCTAAAAGAGAAACTGTGTGAGCAGCCTTTCTGAACACACGAGCCACAAGAGTGCCCAACACCTGGAAACCTTAGAAAAATTTCTCCTTGCTTCTTTACCGTTATAAAATGGCCATGAAAGAAAACAAGATGTGAAAAACAAAGGGGAGGAGGAAAGAGTAAGGATAATTTTGTTGCTGTATAAAACCTTGGTACCCTCACATCTTGCTTACAAGAGGGACAAGTCCATACACCTGAAGAATACAAAAGAATTACGGAAGGTAAAGAAAAAGGCAGACGCAATGATCCAGAGGGTGAGATAGAGCCATTAGTAAGAGTCTAAAACAGCTGGGGCTCTTCCACCTACAGAGGAGAAGGCTGAGAAAATATGATCAATATGATCAAGGCTTATGAAATCATAAAGGCAATGGCTAAGGTGAATACAAAGTTGTTAGTTATCAGATCTTACAGTACTAGAAGGAAGGTGCGCACAGTGAGACTCATCGGGCACCACTGGCAGCCAGAAGACGGTGCCTTCTGTCACAGCAGGTAATTAATGTCTGGAAATCCCTACCACAGGCTGCAGTAAAGGCAATAGTCAGCAGGTGCAAAAGAAACTAGTCAAACTGGGTAACAGGTCTACAAACAGATTAGAATAGAATAGGTATGGAATCATTATTTAACATCTCTGATTGATGCTTGGTCATAATTATGGATGCTTGGGAGTACTAGATGGGCAGACCAGGAACTTACGTACTGGTTCCTCAATAGAGCAACCTCTATTGCCACAGAAAGGAGAGAGTAGTGGGCAAGATGGACCTCTGTGCTGGTCCAACAGGCCACTCCTTATGTTCAGGATTCCTTGGATATGCTGAATATTCCTTGGATATTGCAGAATATAGACAGAATTCAGATTTCAAACAGTTTCTAATTAATTTAGAACATGTTAAAAGGATCTGCCAGTAACACACAAGGGCAAAGTTCATCTCCAGGAGCAACTAAGATAAAAACCTATAAAAGTAATTAATGCCCTAACTCATTAGATGCCTCTCCATTGGCATTATTAAAGCTAAAATGCATTTCAAAAAGTGCACATACTTGCTCCTGTAAAACAGCCAACAAATTGATGTTTTTATGTAGGTTTTCTTGTTCCTTTAGTTTCTAAGATCTTTAATGACAAGCATCTTAAAGCAATTAATTATGTATGGTGATTGGTATTTGACATTTGATCTGTAAGGTAAGTATCCACTACAGAATTATAAACTCTCTCCCTCCTGCATTTTGTATGTCATGTACTTGGATAAAGTGATTGTGCTCTATACAGGCCCCTTTCCTCTTGAGTGCAGTATTTCTTAACCGTTTGTGAAGAACTAAATCCATTAAGTCCCTTTTGCCTCCAAGGAAAAGAAAAGGGAGTTCTATTGATTACCTTTGTACTAACAGTGAACATAACAGACTCCAGCTCAAGTTAACACTGCACAAGCCCTAGTAGATTCTCCAGCTCTTTTAGCACAGGGATGACTGTTTCTTTCATTCTTAACTTGGTGAATTGCTTCCCCTTCCACCTGTGATCACATCACATCTAATTGGCTACGCAGGAATTTGCTTATGTAGAAAAGTCATATGTATCACTGTGTTTTCAGCTGCCTTGCAGTGAAACACAGCAGCATCAAAGAAAGGGTGAGCTCGCACCCAGGCCCCAGCCAGTGCTGCACAGACAGGGACAAAGCAGATAAAAAATGAATTGCTCACTGGCTAAAGATAAAGGCAATTTAATAAGCAAAGGAAAGAGGATGGGAAAAAACCTGCAAGAGTTTAAAAGATGCTTACCTCCAGGAGGAAGGGGACAGCACAGAGGTTCTGCCAGAGGCTGTGGGTGAAGACATGATGCTGCATGGTCTGAACTCCCTGCCAGAAGTAAGGGCAGGCAGCAGTGATTCTGTGGGAGAGCAGTTGCAGGCAGGAGGGCAGGAAGAGGACTGGCTGCCCGGCAGCAGGGACTGGCACCCCAGAGGAGCCTGGAGAGACTATGCAATGTCTTTCAAAATAAGAACCGCCTTCTGAGGAAGGGAAGCTCTTTGGAAGCGTAGCAGGAGGCAAAGTGGCTGAAGCAGAACTGCTTCCACTACCCAGCAACTGGAACAAAGATCCAGGCAACTTTACGAGACCACTTTCAGGGCAATCAGATCTTGATATCTTTTAGATGAGGTGACTAAATGAGACCCAGGAATCAGTAACAAACAAATGTTCCTGAATTGTAGAGTCTTCAAGACAACAACCTGCAAGATTTAAAGTATTCTTAGCTCGATA